TAAATACCTAAAAATCAGGTCTCATTTTCGATTGAAAAATCACCCGTCAAAATATCAGCGTTTTTTTCAAAATTTGGTGTGTTTTTTTTTTTTGTTGAAATCTCTATTTTCCGATGGTGAGGAAAAAAAATATAAATTTCTTACTTGCAGTACCATTTTTGGATAAAATAATCATGTCCCCTTGTAATGAAATGAACACTCGATATCGTTTGGAAAATGCTCTTTCAATTTATTTTTTAATAGTTTTTTACAGCTTAATGTCAATTTTTTGTCAATTACCTAAAAGAGGGACTATCTGGAAAACTTCCAGAGTACACAACTATTAAAAAATAAATTAGAAAGAACAACAAACAGAAAACACAACCAAATTTTTAAAAAACGCTGATATTTTTGACGGGTGATTTTTCAATTGAAAATGAGGCTGATTTTTAGTTATTTATTCAAAATAAGCTGAAAAAATAAATATTTCTAATCAAAATAAATTACAGTGCATTTGTAACATCAAAAGGAAAGTTTTTCACCAAATTTCGTGACAAAAAATTGTTTTTTGTAAGAGATAAAATAAAAAACCAAGAACTTGGGTTTTTCGAATTTATCACATAAATTTTCAGGTTATGTGAAAAAAGTGTAAATACAAAAGTTTTACATCTTTGTATTACCTACAACTTTGCCTTATAACATTTTTCATTAGGACTCTTAGTTTTTCCGGACATCGAGAAAACCCATTTTTTACCCTTGAATACCCACGCCCGTACCCTTCCCGACCATAGATCGCCCGTAAATTATTTTTCCCTTAATTTTTTAAAATATTCCCCACGTTTTCCTAATGGGTTTTCATTCTACTATAATTTATTTTCACTTTTTCATCATTTTTTAGAGGCATCTGCACTGGCCTATAAGGATTAACAAATTTCACCACTTATATGTTGACGGCTCGAACTATCCACGCACATAAACGTTACAAGAAAAACAAAATTCTGATGAATATACAGTCATTCCATTTCAAACAGTTCTATGAAATAATATTAAAGTAAAAAGGTTTTATTGTATAATTTTTAATTATCTATGTTAACTTCTTCGTGCTAAATATTTGAGAAAAAATTCCATTTTATTACTTTAGATTAGCTGATTTTCATTATAATCTGTTAAAAAACACAATGTTTTTTTTATAGTCAGTTTATTTTTGTGAGTTGCTTTTAAGTACAAATAATAATTGTTATAAGTATTTTATTATTCATTTATCATGTACAACAATGACTTTTCAAAGACATATAGATTTTGATGAGTAAAAAAAAATGGTGTCAATTTGACAATGCATTTTTTTTTGTGTCATAGTAATTTTATAAAATAAACATATATAACAGTTGTTTTGTGATGAAATATTGTTAAAAAAACAGTGGTAGTTTCATTGAGTTGTAATTTTTATCAGGATTGACATTCTATTGTACGTAAAGAACGGAGTAATCGTGGTCAATTTTGCTTTGTTTACAAGATTGCCTATTTCTATTGAAATGAAGTATACGTAACTCGGTCTGTTAATATTTTTTATATTGATCCATTTTATAAAAATAATATCGTCATTTACAATACAATTAGGTCTCTTTAAAAGAGTCAGTGGTGGCCTAGTGGTTAAATGCCCGCCTCTCCTACACGAGGGCGCGGGTTCGATTCTGGCAATTACGAATGTGATTTTTCCCGACTCATATGTACTTTCTGAGAGTATTTAAACACCACTGACATACGGTGAAGGAACTTCATACTTAAGTACACACGGAGTTTATATGTGTTGGCCAAGGCGATAAAATAGTAGGGAATCTTTTTATCAGATTTGACGGGAAATATATTCGAATTAAAAATATCCGATTAACGTAAGCTGTGCTAAAAATATATAATATAAAAATATATAATACTAAAATTTCAGTGTTTGTATTATAGTATTTTATGTAATACGAAATATATTATTATTTATTTGGATGAGAATATTATTAATTTAATTTATTTATGAAATCAAACATACTTAATCACATGAAAAAATATTTATAAAATCAGATGAGCGCCTTTTATTTTAAAATTACTTCCATGCCGACTGTAATGCGACATGCAATAAATAAGCGTATGAAAAAAATTTTGCACTATACATAAGAAAAGTATCGTTGAAAATGAATTACGATAAAAAAAAAAAAATATGGTTTATGTAAAAAAATTGAAAGTTTATTTTAATACAATCAATTACTTAAGGGAAATCTTGATAATATACTGAAACGTTCTTAAAGTCGTGAATCTATTATTAAAATTTAATATAATTCTGTTAGCCGTAGGTAGACTTAGTCTGAGTTGGCATCAGGTTCTGTCAGAGGTGTACCACCAGCGCGCGCGCGAGTTCGATCCCGGGGTCCGAGTCCGGACCGGGGATCGGGTGGAAGGTTGGCGGCGCTCCTTGATCGCCTTACTGCTTCGCCGGTGGAAGCGGAAGCTCTCTGAGCCAGTGGCCGGGTTGCGAACCGTGGAGGCTATTCGCCCGCTCCTTAAAGAGTGGGTGGACCGCCGACACGGTTTCCTTGACCTTCCGGCTGGTGCAGATCCTCTCGGGGCATGGTAGCTTCGGGAGGTATCTGTGCCACATAGTCGGGAGAGAGCCGACTGCGGCGTGTCACCATTGCAGTTGCATGGATGACACGGCCGATCACACTTTGGCGGAGTGCCCTGCGTGGGCTGTAGAGCGTCGCCAGCTCACCACAGTGGTTGGCGCAGACCTTTCGTTGCCGGCTGTGGTTCAGGCCATGGTCGGTAGCGAGAGGGCCTGGGAGGCGATGGTCAAGTTCTGCGAGCACGTGATGTCGCGGAAAGAGGCCGCAGAACGTGCACGGGAAGACGACCTCTCCTCGGCGCCCTTGCGTCGACGTAGACTGGGTCGAAGGCAGCGGGCATATGCCCGCGACCTGCCTCCCCAGTGAGGAGCCCTCCGGGCGTCGGGTGGGGAACCGGCGTCCGGGGTAACATAGGCCCGAGTAAGAGCGGCGTGTTTGGCGTTCCCCGGCACGCTGCTCTTGAGTCGGAGGGGTGGTGTGGTCTAGCCACTGATACCCCTGCCGATGGCGGAGTCCCTTTTTCGGGACTTGTGCGTAGTGAGCGGAAGCATGGATCGCCGTTCCCGCTCACTAGCCTACGCACTGCGCAGAGAACGCCGAGGAGTTTAGTGGGTGGAAATCCCACACGCCCCCCGCGCCGTGTTTCCCCCGCGGCGGGAAGTCTTTGAAAGATTCTCCTCGTTAAAAAAAAAAAAAAAAAAAAAAAAAAAAGTCTGAGTTGGCATCGTCATACTATACACGATGCGTATTTAAGTTTTTTTCATTCATAAGTCATCACACATAGTATTGATTTCTTAAACGAGAAACTTGAACTACTTCGTATTTATGACAAAGGGAAGCTCACATTAGTACAGGAACCGAAAACTCGGGATTATGTACATAGATTGATAACTATTATTACTGATTGATGGAAACAAACGCTTGATAACTATCTGAAATAAAATCTGTAAAGGAATCGTAATCCTGACAAAAAAAAATCAAAAAAAAATATTCAGTTAAACAAAATAAAAAGACCCGTAGTAATCCGAAAATCTTAGAAAAAAAAAAACTAAAATATCCCAAATTTATTTATTTATTTATGGGAAAACATACAGCTTATATTAACAGTCAGTGGTGGCTCAGTGGTTAAACGGCTCGCCTCTCGTCGCTGAGGGCGCGGGTTCGATCCTGGCCCGAGCAAGTAACCAATGTGATTTTTTCCGGAATCATATGTACTTTCTAAAAAATAAATCTGAGTATTTAGACATCACTAATTAATTTTAATTTATATACCCAAAAAAGGGCGTTGACGGCCCCGAGCAAGTACGTGACGTCAGGCAAAGGCGGGGCCGGCAAGGCGGCCGGTCGTAAAAACAAATAGCCAAAAAACTATTCACAACAAGTAAGGCAGACCCTGGCTATAGCTGGTGAAATTGGCCAGGTAGAAGAAGAAGAAGATACAGCTTATATTATAATAAATCATTTCGGTAGGGTAAAAAAACAATTTGCCAGAAGAGTTTCCACAGTTTTTATTTTCATGTGGAGTGTATTTTATACCTTACTTAAGAAAATAATAATCACAATAAAAAAAAACAAGTGTACAGTAATACCGCGCTTTGTCCGCGAGGTTTATGACTACAAATAGTTTAAAAATTTTATTCAAAGAAATATAAATCATTTTATGTAATTCTAAGAACACTTTATGCAATACATACTCTTATTTTTCTAAGAAAATATACATCTATTGTCTAAATGAATAAATGAAAACTAATATTTTCGGATTTACTACGTGATATTTTATTTTGATTATAAACATTTTTTTTTTTGTTTCATTTAAATGAGTACTCGCAAAAATCTTAGAGCTCATTACATATATTGACTTTTGGGTGGCCTTTTGTTTACGTTCTTGTAAAATAAGTTCATAACACGCAAAAGTTTTTTTTAATTGTTGACACACGGTCATCATTATTGTCTATACCCGGCAAAATGTGCAAACCTCAATACATTTTTGATTCGCGTTATAAGGAAACAACGTATAACGGGGTCGCTATAAGCGGGTTTATTACTGTAGTATCCAAAACCCTAGTTTCATTTAAGCCAATTTGAGGAGCTTTATATGTGATCAATGTGAAAATGTCCTCATTACTTGATATCCAGTCAATGTGAAAAATGTCCTCATTACTTGATATCCAATCAATGTGAAAATGTGTCCTAATTACTTGATATCCAATCAATGTGAAAATGTCCTAATTACTTGATATCCAATCAATGTGAAAATGTCCTAATTACTTATATCCAATCAATGTGAAAATGTCCTAATTACTTGATATCCAATCAATGTGAAAATGTCTTCATTACTTGACTTCCAATCAATGTGAAAATGTCCTCATTACTTGATATCCAATCAATATGAAAATATCCTCATATATTCAGGGCGGAGGGGTGTGACGGTTCACTACCCAGACATCATCAGCGGCTCCCACGAAACCTGCGCCGTACTAGTGACGGGAACCCACCGCTCGCTTCTGCGCCCAACCTCGCGGGCCGCTCAACACTTCACGCCCGACTTCCTTAAAACACCCGAATGCCAGAAGAGCATAGAGAAGGCTAAAATTCTTTTTTATGCATCGGTATGTATTAAATGTTAGAATTTAATTTACTTTGATATGTAACTTAAATCTTCTTGAATCGAGGTACTTACTAGTTTCGTGAACCGAGGAGCTAGCTTCTTTGAACAGAGTTTTTTGGGCTTGCTTCATGAACCGAAGAGCTTTCAGTTTGTCCCCTTTTGTTTATCAAATAGAAGAAATATGATTCCCCAGTTAGACCCTTGCCAAGTAACACCAATACTTCGTAGTAGGGAGCAAGATATTGAGACGTAAATATTTTTTTGTTATAATCCGTATCTTTTGCAGGATTTAACTTTTTAAAGACACATTTCTTTTTATATCCGTCCAAATATAAACCAAATGCAATACTATTTTTTTATAATATAGAAAATATAGTTTTCTCAATAAGTACATAATTTATAAATTTTAACATCAAATGTCCTCATAGCACATAGCTCTTCATTGGAAGACAAAAACTTTAATCAAAACCCCCCCCAATTGATATATTTTCTATTATCTGTTGTCTTTTTGTTCGACTGTTTTTTAATTAATAATATTCTACTCTTCACATAAAGGGTTTCTTCGTGGCCGTATCTCCTGAGTCCCATAATGTTACTCTGTGAACACGCTCACAATAACGGCCACACGTTCGTCATGAACCTCAGTGCTCCGTTTCGTCTCTCAGTTTCTACAAAGGACCCCTTGGGAGAAACTCCTGCCCCGTATGTGGACGTCAATGTTTGGAAATGAATCGGTAAATTATATAAATTAAAACCGTTTTAAATCTTAATATTCCAATCCCTAAGAACTGTACAATTATCAAAGGCATAACTTCTTTTATTTGAATGAATCGATGCTTTTCAATTTTACTAGTTATCAAGTTTAAATTTAGAATCCTTTAAGAATTTTTTAAGTAATAAAAAAAAACTTGAATATTAAACTTCTTTCCCTTTGACTAAATTATAATATTTCATTTTTTAGTAATGTGTTTATTAAATATTTACAGGAAGCAGAGGCCGTTCGCGAAAGCCTTCAACTTAAAAGCGAAGGACTTAAAGTCTATAGCTTTAGAAATGGCTGCAATAATGGAAAAACCTCAACAAGAATAGGCAGCGTGTAGTCCCGTTATAACTCAGGGCAAAGATCCCAGTTATACTAGTCGAAGGGACCAAGGTCCACTATGGTTTCAGTCCACCGAGCTGTCCAGGGAACAGATAGGTTGACACCAATGGTGCTGGTGATGCCTTCACAGGTGGTTTCCTCAGTCAAATGGTCTTCGGCAAATCCTGGGAGAACTTGCATCAAATGTGGGGATCTATACCGCAAACACATATAATACAACCATTCAGGCTGCCACATTTAGTGGTGAAAGCGACTTTAGGGAGTGATAGTGAATTACATAGAAGAATTTATCAACATTTTTCAACAACGAATCTGATAGAATTAGTTTTTGTTTTCTCTCGTCTTAGACATAGCTGTGCTGTGTTTCTCGTTCTTCCTAACTTAATAGTACATCGGCTGTTATTTATAGCTCCATATAAATAGCATTGAGATTTTATAATATATTTAAGTAATATCTTAATGTAGTCTAGAATTATTTTACATAGAAAAACAATGTTCATTCATATTTTTGTCCACCGTTTACATATATGTTAAGAATATATGTATGTCAGAAATTAATATGCCAACATATATATTTTAATGTATGTACATATATAATTTTTGTTTATATAAATATGGTACAGCATGAGTATCTCGAATTAAAAAATAGATGTAGGAGACATTGAATTTGAATCACATCAAAATAAATATATAAGAAATAAAAAAAATACAAGTAACAAATTCTATTAAAAAAACTTTTACTAACAAAATATATTATCAAAAATTCTCACAAGAGTAACACAACAACTAAAAATACTGATATAAGAAAAATAAAGTTATTGAGAAATTAACTTAAATAATAAAATGGCAAAGCCATATTTTGTTGAAGTTTCTTACAGAATGTATATAAGTATAATGATAATTAGTTTTCTTTGAAACTAAGACTATAGTAAAGGTTTGTAATTTGGCATTGAGCTTAAATATAATAGGTTTATATAAAATACTATAGAATATTTTTAACAATATGGATATCCCAATAAGGAACCTTGTGCTCGTCTCCGAGCAAGGGCATACATCTGTACACCTCGTATATAATAAACTTTTAACAGCTTCGATTAATTTAACTTTGGTTCCCGAGTCATTCTTATATTCATATAAACTGGGATCAAAACTAGATTCATAGTTGGTTTTCCACACCACAAGTCTTACATCCGGTGTCAAACTCCTCGTCACCCTCCTAGAAAATAATGCAATTTAATATAGCAATATATTTTTGTTACCATTAGAGCTATGTATAAAAGTGCATGTTGATATGACATAGAAAATTTGTTTGTACTTTAGAATTTTTGTGAATTTAAATGTTTTATACACACATCTTACTTGTTTGTTTTTTTTTTTTTAAATGTTAATAATACTTTTGAAAAGATAAAATGAAAATACGTTAGACTGATAAAAAAATATAAGATGTCTAATTAATTAATTTAGAGTATGATAAAACAAATTTGAATAATAGATTAAAATAAATTTTAATAAAATAATAACAATACGGCAAAGGTGCGAACTGAAACTTCTTTTAGATAATATAGAATAAAAACACAACTTTTTTAACTTACCGAAAAGGAACATTTTCATGATTTTCCTCGTCATGATTATTTATAAATGCCTAAACAAAATACAAAAGTTTACAATTTAGAATTTAGTACTGTTAAAAAACTTTTAAACTAAACATATTTTTCGTGACAGAGATCACAATATTGTTTTTGAACAAACCCGTTTAAAAATCCTTGACAATTAATTAAGGCTCATCATATTAAATGTCGAATTCTTCATGTAAAATAAATATGAAAAGTAATTATTTTCTGTTTTTTAAATTATTTTATTATGAATCTGACTAAGAGACGAAACCTCTTAGCATTCAATGGATTCACCGTGGCGGGTGCCGGGTCCATTGCGTTGGCAGGGAGAGGAGCTTTCAAACAGTGCCTGGGACTTGCGACCCAGGTGTAGGTTTAAGGGGCCCCTTAACTAACGCGCGTTTTATACGCTCACCTCCACTGTCCAAGTTCCTCTCCCTACCTAACCAAATTTGAAAATAACCTACTAGGGCTGCCTTCGACGTACGTTCTAAGAATGAAATTAATGTTTAGTTTTTTCTGGACAGGCCCAAGTCTTTTTAGTAGGTTATAGAGAGATTTTTTGCTGGTTATACCTCTCGCTCCCACCTCTACCGCGTACAAAATCAACGACGAACCTATTTCGAGTTAGTTCGTTAGTGAGCTCCGTAATACTTATTGACCTTGATGGCATGGTCTTTGGGGATTGTTGGTTTCCCAAAGGCACCGTACAGCTCTATCATCACAACGCGCTTTTAAAATACGCGAATATAGAAATATGTCTGGTCTGGAGGCCGACGCACAAATATCCTCGGGGATTTTGTATTGTTTCTCATACGTATCCCATCATGATAGTCCCCCATCCGAAGCCGCTTTAAGGATAGAGTAAAGGCTTGACGTTTGATTTTATAGCGCCCTGGTGCCCTCTCTCACAAAACCTATTGTACGCTCGTTTGTGGTTTTATTTCCCTTTGGCGCTCTTGGCTACCGAAAGACTAACCGCTTCACGTATGATCTCTAAAACCCTATCGTGACGACGCGAGTATTGACCGCTGTCCAGGAGAACCTTACATCCCACCAGCAAATGCTTGGCAGTTCCAACTGCCTTTCCGCAGATATAGCAAGTTTTTTTTCGGTACCTTTACCCCATCTTACTAAATTACTCTGATCTGGGAGAGTCATCTGGAACGCATTGAGATAAAAATTTTTAGCAAGGCTGGCGACCCCGTCTGATTAGGGTGCGCCATTTTAGTGCTAGTGGAATGCAAAAATCTCCTATGTCCTAACCACTCGTTCTGCATTTCTAAACTCATTGCATGGATTTTGTATTTATCGTTCTCGTCTTGCCGAATAAAAAGACTTCAATATATCCGTATCTTGGACTTTCCTACTTGATCCTAACCCCTACTCTTGTTTATTTTGCGCCTCCGATCATAAATTGTTTATGGAATTGAAGTCGTGACTCTTAGCTCTGGGGCATCATTGTCTTTGGGGAGTGATGTAACGACGTCATCATGGGATTTTCCCAGGATATGTCTCTTGGAAACTCTTAGGTGGTTTTGTAGAGCTCCGATGGTCTTTTTAGATTCATCCCAAAAACTATTACGATCCCTGAATAAAGCCGATGAATCAGCCGTTAGCGCGAGCCCGAGCCACAACTTCAACATCTTTTATGACTCCTGCAATCTAATTTAGATAAAAGGGTTTTACTAAAATCAATAGATGAGGAAAGGCCAATTCAAACGTGAAGTTAAGTAATTATCGTAGATCCATGCTTTTTTTACGTTACTTGATCTGCTGGCTATCTACCTTGTTAAGATCATTTAAAAAGCTATCTACTATTCCTTCTAAAGATGGAGTACGACCTATATTATCAATCTTAACGACCGAGAAACTTGGATGGTGCATCTTCCGTAACCGTAGAAAACGCATTGACCGCCTATCGATAGTCCCGATCGTATGAGGTGTGATCTTGTATTCCGCCTACCAAGACACAAACAGTGACTTTTACTTGGTTTTGTCCTCAATCCATCACTCCCCCACTCACAGAATTTATCCCACTTCATCCAATAGTACTTGACAGTGTTTGGGGGTGACGTGTCAGTATTGCGAGATCGTCCAGCGAAAGGCTAAAATGGATTCCGTGTATTTATTATTAAACTTAAACCGATAACCCCCATTTTTTTTTCGTTACAGATTAATTTTTCTACTAAGATGTTAATAACGATATTAAACGTAATTGGAGATAGACAACAACCTTGAAAAAGTCCTACATTATAACTCAAACTTTTTGAAGGGCCTTCTTTAGTTTTATTTATTATAGAAAACCTTAATTTTTGAGTAATGACGACGCGATCATATCTCTAACTAGGGGTGGAAAGTTGTACCATCTAAGCGCGAATAGCATCAACATCGTGTTTGTAATCGACCCGAACGCGTTTCTTCCACCCAGTCTAATCCAACAAACTGTAATTTGCCGCTCGCTTTTTTTCTAGCATCTTTCAAACTCCTCCGACAGCAAGGGTGTTGTGTTTCTAGGCATCCAGAAATCCCGGGTAGAAACCCTTTCTGGTGATTTTTTGGCCCTAAAATACTTGTTGCTGAGCATGAAAATCGCGTCATTCTCGTTTGTAGGACCGAGAAAAAGATTTTTAGAAATTGTATTTGTTAAGGCTATCGGTCCTAGTAATCCTTCGGATCGGTAACTCGATCCTTTTTGGGAATGAGGACCAAAAATGGCTTTCCCGAAACACTCCGGGATTTGCTTCCTTGACCAGATTTTTGCCGTATATATTTATGAGGTTCGGTGTTTACGAACCGATGGACATTTTTTTAAAGACTATATATGGGATACCATCGGGGCCCGGTGAAGATTTAGATGATTTCCTCTTTATGTGACTACTTTATTTCGTCTAACGTTGGTGGTATGCCCGTGAAAATCGATATGAGGAATTTCCGGTTTTTTGTTTCGTTTTGGATCCGTATAGAGCCTTACACTTTTAGGCACTTCGTATGTGCTCTTGAATATGGTCGTAAATTTGATCGTTGGGTCAAGAGAAGCTGTCCCCCCCGCGTTCTTTCTTAAAAATGGGTTTTCGAATACTCAAAAAGGTTTTTTATCAAAATCTACTTCCCTGTTTGCCCGGTCCAAAATTACCGCTATATTCTGCAGTTTGTGCCGATATTCCTTGAATTTAATTTAAGGATTGACCTTAACGCCCTAGCTAGCTGATGACTAAGGTGGTTTGTCGCCTAGAGCTTTGGCTATACGTAGATTTTTTATTAATTCCCGTTTTTTTCTCTTCCTCATTTTTTTATCTTGAACGAATTTTCTTTATTTTTTGCGAGCGCAATTGATTACGTGGTGTGGATATTGCTCGTTGAAGTAGTCCATAAACGTATTTTGGAAAGTTTCCTATCCTGCGGAGTTTTTTCAATTCCTGCTTCGAGCCCGTATGCCTCTAACAGGACCGCTAAAATTGTCGTCGTGAACTTTCCAAGTCGATTGTTTTTCATGTTAGGATGCTAAGACGTGTCCGGATGTTAATGGACTCCTGGGTGGTTTTTCCAGTTAATGGTTTCACCATGGGATTACGTGAAGGGTCAACTCTATCCGAAGTTGATAATTGAAGAACTTACCAACGATTGGTCGGTGCTTCAACACCATTATGTGTTTTTAGGTGTTTAATGTACCAGGCTCGTCTCTTTGTAATTTTTTCCCGCACGTAGGGCATTTTCAGTCCGTATTCGCGCCGTTTTCGCCGTTTAAAATCGCCCGTTGGACAGATCTTCCGCCCCCCCTCTCGGACTGTATTCAAGTTATTATAGAATCAACATTAAATTTTTGTAGTGTAATCATTTCTCCAGTTCGTTATAAGCTTTATTGCAATATAAATGCTAATGAGATAGCATTTTGTAAAATTTATATGAGGTTTGTTTATTTAAGGAAAAAAATTTTTTTTAAGTTAATTAAATTCATGGCTTTGAATAATTCGGATAAACTGAACATTATAAACAGTTATTTTAATATAATTAAACAAATTTTCGTATCTAACATAAAAAATGTAGGTACATCACTATTTTTAGTAATTTAAAGAAGTGAAATGTCCTTCACTGAATATTTCTGTATATTCAAATTAATTATCCAAATTATATGCCTAGAATAAATATCCTGTTAATGATATATCTTGAATATGTTTTTGGTTATACTAATTAATTGAATAAATATTTTTTTTATTGTTATTTTTGAAGAAGGGTGGCACGTAACATTACACGATTCATTAATAATGTCAACGGGTTATTTATTTAAAAATTTTTTATTAATATTTTAAGGTTCATTAAAATAAAATGTTAATATACTTCTCCCCTCCTTACAATACTTATACATTTTATTATAATTACACATATACACATGTATATAATATGCACTTTTTTTTATTTCAGTTATCATTGCAGGAAAAGTATTTAAAACATGAGTAGTCCGTTGACTATTTATGTAATCCAAAAATAATAATATTTGATAAAATCAATATAAAGGTAATTTAAATTTCCTATTAATTAGTGTTTTCTTTGGTAACCAGAGACCAACGACTATACTCTATAAATAATTTAATTTTAATGAATTTCATTAAGGTGGCAATATCAAATCTGACGGACAGGATATCAAAATTTAATTTTTTTTCATATAGCAAGGAAACTGATTGATAGCCATTTTGAAGAGCCTTTTGTTAGTGTTTTTGGTGAATGTTTTCATAAAAATTTTTGCAAAATTATTATGATAAAGATTATTGATATGCATTAAAATTAAACGCATTATGAACAGAGAATATTCCTTTTAATGAACTTTAGCGTGTTTGGTTGTTTTGTTTGGTGTAGGCACACATTGTGACAAAAAAAAAAAACCGGAACGAGTTGAAAATTTACTTTATATTAGTTTTATCGTTATTAAAGTATTAATTTAATAGTGTATAGTGATGATTGTTGTTTAAGTGACTGATTTATTGAAACTGATAATTATTTACGTCGCGCCTCGCGTGTATTTGTTCGCTACGTAAAATTATTGAGATCGACCACAAGCAATGGCCGCCGTCGGATGCCCGCTCCGCCAAAACCCGCTCGCGAGGCCCGATGGTGTCATCTATTTATCCATGGTGCGTCTGACATACTATAAACTGGCGTCTTAACAGCGCGACCCGAACTCACCGGTCGCTTCCGCGAAGTTCCATTGTATAAAATGGAATTTCGCTCGAGGCGCCAAAATACGATGGGTGTTTTTGACACATCTCTACATAGCTTCAATACCGTCCGTTACTTTTGACCGGCTGCACAAAATAATTGTTGACAAAAATGAGCTAACCGGACGACGTCGGAAAAGAAGTGTGGAAGCGTTTGGATTCTTTGGGAGATACATAAGATACGATCGCAGAAGCCAGAGGCCGGAGCGTGGGAGGATATTGTCACGCAATTAAGACAGCATCTACAACTACCACGAAGATGTTTGTGTCGGAGCGTCTGGAGAACGCCGTGCGTGAGGGAGTAGTGCTGAAAGTGTATAACAAAGGGACAAAGTTTTCGTACAAGGATCCAGGGGGGTTGCAGAATAAGGTGTTACGCATATCAGCAGACGTTTGATGTCTCGAGGGCGGTCGCGAAAGCGGTGCGAGAACTCGGTGAGAGAGAATGATCCAGCTTAAAAACTATAGAAAAGTATCTGCGGCAAGCCGTTACCAAGTGTCCCGTAGAGGAAAACATCGAGGTTCGGAATATATTTACGAGGCGCAGCGAAGCGTGCAAGTGGGCTAGGGGACTCCTCATCCATCACGACCCGGGTAACTATAAAGCTGCCGAGAGACCCTTTACAAGCCTCTGAAACGCATTTCAAAACAAAGAAGTTGCAGGATTCTCCAGAGAAGTGAGTATACAGTTCCTAATCCATAACAAAAAAGGTTTTTTATATTTTGATTTCCTCATAAGATTCATGCTTGGTTACAATAAAAAACAAATGTTTTCCAAGTTCAAAATATGATTGTGTAATCACCATGTTATGTCAATATCATGTTTATTGTTATCAAGTAAAACCACAACACTACTATTTTATAGTGAAACAGTTTTTTCATTCAAAAGTTGGAATGAATGAATGTTTTGATTATAATAAACAACTTTTTAATGTTAAATTATTATTGTTTTATAAATAAATCTGGGAGACAAATACGTATTAAAATTAATAATTATAATTATCACTTTTAGGTGATAATGTAAAACTTTAAATAATATTTAAATATATTGATAAGTTATTTTTTTAAATATTATAAAGTAAATGTGTAAATATATATTCAACATAATTGTGTCAGAATATATTCCTGAATTATATAATTTTTACTATTGTAAGAGTATATATATTTAACATATAGTCATATGGTATTATAATGTAAATTCCAGAAGCCAAGCCCTGGTGGGGGTGCCCGTGTGTGGCCGAATGTCTCGGAACTGATGCTACAGAATAGACTTGGGGTCACCGAGGCCACTCATCTGCTGTGCCCAGTGTAAAATCATATGCACATCCCACCTGTCTCAACCTGCTGGAATACATTTAATTTGACAACATTGAAGGTAAACCACATATATATAAGATATACGCATATATATGTATAATTCCCAAAGAAGTTTTTGGATATCAGGCAGGCGGCCAGTTAATAAAAAACATTAAAGCAAAACTATTTACTACATATAAGTCAGACCCTGGCTAAGCTGGGAAATTGGCCAGGAAGAAACTGTAATATGTAATATGGAAATTGGTAAAAATCATGAAACGATTTAACATATATGAAAAGAATTATGTGATCATGCTTCAAAGTTTTAAATGGTTTTTTTTTTGATTTTTGATAGTTTATCTGAAATTGTTTGTTTGTTTTCATAATATTTACATCACTCTGTTTATATATATAATAATTTTTAAACTGAATTAGTATAACTTCAATTTAGTTTTATTTTGGTCATGTGGTAATATAATAAGGGATAATTATATGGTTTTACTACAATAGAAGGTCAAATTTTAAATACATTTGTTATTATTTATAATTTAGAGGAATAAAAAAATGATTATTAGCATTTAAAATTTATTATTCTTTATAAGTATTTGTCTTGTAATTGTGGATAAATTATGAACTATATAAGGTTTGATAGTTTATATTTCCTGTACAATGGCCTTACAATAATATGTTTTCTATGAAAAAAATACCATCACCTTTATTGGTTTAATGTGTTAGATTACTCTACTTTATCACTATCAATAACTAGCCAAAGATTTTTGTAAATATAGAAATTAAAAAGAACTGATGTATTATTATTTAAGAAAAATAAATGCAAATTATGATGTAAGTTAATTAAGTTTTTCAACATGTATTTGAGTAATTAAAATATTATGTACATGTACACTAAGAAATATAATGTTATGTGGTTCTCATCTACAGAGAAAAGTGTTCTGGCAAAGGAGGAAAAAAAATATCTGTTAAATGTCTTAAAATTAATTATTTTATCTAGTAATATCTACTTAAATAATATTACTGTATGATATAAATCTAATTTTTTCTGTATATATCACTTTTAATACCATGTCCAATACTATATTGTTTCAGAGTGTCCGTTGGTGGTGCGGGGAAGTGGTTCTCGGTGTAGCTCGTGTGGCCTGAGCGGTGAGTGGGCGTCGCGCTGCAGCGGCTGCCCACGAGCTGCCCACGCACGCTGCACACGCGCCAACCCTGGCGCTGCGGACCGCTGCTCACGGACCAGTTCAGCCACACACTACCGACACTCATATACTAGTCCCCCTTGATTAAAGTAATAAGGAAAATATATATCCAGGAACTCACTATTCGGTACTGTGATTTCAGAACGGCGATGGAGGGACGCCGAGAAGCGGAAGTCGAAGACAGCAGCGAGACGCATCGAAATCAGACGACGAGCCCTCCCGACGGTAAATAGCTCGCCGTACGCGCGCCTGCCGTCCGAACAGAGAAATGTCCCAAGGAGAGGCCAAAAAGTTTTTTTCAAATTCTCTCCGCTTTTAATCTCGTTAAACGGCGTCGCTGGTAGGGAGTCCCCGTCGAGCGAGTTTCGAGGGCTGGGGCGGCGTGCGGGTGACGCGCGTGCAGCGCCTCCGAGCTCGCGGTGGAGCCCCGGTACGCCCGGCCCGCCGCAGCATGAAGCCCACCATCTTCGAGCGCCTGGCCACGGACGCGGCGCCGGACGGCGCTTGGGGCTTCGCCGCGGAGGCCCGTAAGCAGCGGCTCGTGGAGTCCCCGCTAAAGTAGCGCCCGCGGCGCTCGCCGCCCAGCCCGCCCGCCAGGCACCGGCGGAGGAGTAGATGCGAGATCGCCTCTTGACCACGCTGTTCGACGTCTATCAGAGTTTTCTATTCTGTTCGCACGGCCGTCGCTCGCAGTCCCCGCTTCGCAGTCGCCGCCCCCCCCACCGGCCGGTTTTTTTTTTAAACGCCGGAACAGTGAGGACCGACAAGTACTTAAAGAGACGAGGAGTACGTTCAAGAGGTAACCAGCCTCGCCCTGAACAGGGAGCCCGAAGACGGCCGGCCAGAGAGGAGGACGCGAGCTGTAAGGACGCGGGGCGGGAATCGGTCGGTCCACGGGAGAGCGTGTCTGTAGAGAGAGTGTCCCTCAGGAGAGGTTGAGCGCGTCGGCGCTGGTGGTGCCGCCGCGGCGGAGGGCAGCGGGGCGGGGCGGGAGTGTGCGCGGGGGCGGGGGCGGACGCTCAGCAGCACAAGCTGTCGCCGCGCGCGCTGGGCCCGGCCACCAATCAGACGGGTAAAGCGGGGTTCGGGGGCGCGGTGAAAAGTGTCGTGGGTGGATCTGATCCGTCGCTCGCTCTGATTGAATGGCCGGCGCTCCGCTGTCTGTACCGCGCTGTGTCCTCTCGTGTTCTCTGTTTTTCGGACTCGGTTGAGTGTGTTCGGTTCGTTCCACACTGCAGTCAATCAAAACTCAGCTATCCGGCCAGTATCCACACATGCACTTTCGCTCGCGCTTCTCGTCGTGGACGCGAACATTTAATTTTTTTTCCGCTTGGTGTGTGACTATCCTCTTCTATTCCCGCCGTTTTTCGTATTTCGTTTGCATTCTATCGAGTTCCGTATGGTGTCCGGTTTTGTATGTGTTTAAGTAAAAATAGATCGATGCTTGAATCAATCGTATTATATTATTTTATTTTTTGGTTGCACATTTTTTTTTTTTTGTATCAGTATATATAACCATATTCATATCCGATCGTCACATATCATATCACTCCTTAGCGTTCGTCCGTTGTTGATATAATTTTTTATTTGGCAGAAGGTAAGCTGTTGCCGGCTGTGTGACTGAGGCCGACGGGCGGAGTTTTGTTCAAGCAGGCTCGTGAGTGCGAGCGGGTGTGGAGGGCGGCCAGTCCCCTACACTCCGGGTCCCACTCCGGGGTGTCGGCCCTCCGCCCCCTCGCTGTCCCCTGGCCGCCATCGAGTTCGGACAGTGGGAGATAGAGACCTGGTACTCCAGTCCCTTTTCCGCAGGAATATGCGAGGGTACATATAGTAGATCTATATACATTCGCTCATCCAAAGAATATTGACGTAATTACGTTTTTGCGATTTTTCCAGGAGAGCGTTTTTAAAAGTTTTGACATCGAAAATAAATGTGTATTTCCAATAATACTAGTATTGATATATTTTAATAGTTTAATGTTGTGTTTACTTTAGCATCAATACATTATGTAAAAAGATTGCTAGAAAAATTCAGATAACTATTAGAAAATACCAAATAAAACGAAATAAAACAATTTATAACATGATACTAGGTTTGGATATGGGAATAAATCATGAATTTAAACAACATTCTACTCAATTTGATTTGTTTGAATTAATCAGTCCCCTAAACTTTTATACTTTTTTATTGTAATAAAAATAAGTTTTATAAATCTTGAAAAAATCTTGGATAAGTTTTTAAAAACACAAAATAAACTATTTTTTAAAAGAATTTAATAACTTAATCTAATATTGAAATTTAATAAACATGTTATATAAGTAGATACCTGGGTAGTGTTTAAAGTAATAATGAGATCAAGAGAAATTTACAGTTAAGGCGATTTTAACGGGGTACTATTAGGTACTTGTACCTACTTATCTAAGAGTAGCATACTCTTTAAGGAGCATAATTATTATAAACTGGTAGGAATATAAAATAATATCATAATGATTCGTTAATTTAAAAATTTGTCTTAATTATATTTTAGGTACTATTTATAATAATTATATGTTAGGTACTATTGATAGGTCAAAATCACAAAATTTATTTGTCAAAATGACAAATACGTCCCGATGTTTCCCCCCGAACCGTACGTAAAATAGGCCAAAAAACATAACGACACTGACTCTCTCTGTCTGAAACGAATGGAATAACAATTCTGTCGTTTTTTTACCATCGATAAAACGTGTAAAAATATAAAGTTATGGCATTAAAAACTCATTCGACTTTTTGGTAATTGTGGTCCATTATTCTTTTGGATGAGCGATATGTTTAATGTCAATTAGTGTATTCTTGGTATTAAAAAAAAATAACTAATCTTCATGAATTCAGATACGTGTTAACAACATGAAACTAAGATTTTCTTTCCGTTTACTAGTAATATACTATATATATGGGTTATCATGTTTCATGTTGCCAAAGTTATTCCTATGTGAGTTTTGCCTTAAGTATAGCGAAGAGTCGAGCGGTTCTAATGCGTCAACCAGGGGGGGGGTGGACAAGTGTCCTGTGGCGGCCCATCCTCCCGCTACTGAAAAAAAAGATCTACCGCTGCGGCGATATATCCGTGTTCGAGGTGGACGGGAACGCCAACAAAATATACTGTCAGAATCTCTGCCTCCTCGCCAAACTGTGTTTCTGGACCACAAGGACGTTTGTATTATGACGTCGAGCCGTTCTTGTTCTACGTAAAAAACACTAAAAACGACAGCAAAGGCTGCCATCTCGTGGGATATTTCTCAAGGAGAAACATTGTCAGCAGAAATATAACGTATCGTGTATAATGACAAATGCCTCAGTATCAAAGACAGGGTTACGGGAGGTTCCTCATCCATTTCCAGTGAGTGGTGGAATTTATTTTTCAATAAACATTTCATTCAATATTGTTAGATTTTATCGTTTTCATAGAGTACATTATTAATGATGTTTTCCTTTCATCAGGTTTATTTGTTTGTCAAAAGAAGAAGGTCAAAAGCGGGTACGCCAGAAAAGCCTTTGTCAGATTTAGGAAGGGTTTTCGTATCATGCTTACTGGAAAATCTGTTATACTGGGAATATCTCCACGACCACAAGAGACAAACCGTTTCACATTCGAAGACATTCGCTCTCTCGACTGGAATGCACATGAATGATATAGCTGTAACATTTCAACTGCTCGTTTTGTGAGATACGTTCCCGACAAGGACGATATCAATTAGGCATTTGTGTAGACTGGAAGAGGGTCGAGAACCACGTGAAGAAACTGAACAGTAGGCCGCGCCTGGAAATAGATCCTGAATGTTTAAGGTGGACGCCGTTACTGACGCCGACCATCAATCCCTTCAGATCTCCAGATGAGAATTCAGCTGATCAGGACACAGAAAACGATGAAGGGGAATTGAAAACAGAAAGTGAAAAATACGGAAACGGAACCAGAAACGATTCCTTCGAAATCAAACGCTAAAACGAAGTCCGTTGAAAAAGAATCGCTAGAACAACCGATAGCGGTCACTTCATCCGGACGGAAGAGGACGCGACCTCTGAAATATAGTGAAACTACGTATCAGACCACGCCGACGTTTGAGTGACGCGACGCGGAAAAGAAAACGTGACGCTAACAGAAAGCTCTCCGAGAGCGTTGACGAAGAAAAGAAAGAAGACAGCACACCTAGAAGACAAAGAAGCAAGAGTGTCGGCCGCAAGGCTAAAGTTCAAGAAGAAACCATAGAAAGATCTACCGAGGAATAGGCGGAAAACGAAAGAACAAGCGTACGCCTCAGATAGTCCACGAGAGCCAGGAGAGTAAATGACGTCCGTACTGAAGAACCCGCGCCTGTCAGGCTGGGGAAGGCGAAAACGAAACGGAAAACTCGCCTGGAGAGGCAGACAGGCGCGAAACGACAGACGGGAAGTAAAACAGTTACGAGCAATGAATCACCTGTCGCGAAGAAGGCTAAGGTTGACGAGGAGAACGTGGGTTACAAAACTGATGACTCACAGCCGACCACTGAACCTGTGGAGGAAAAGACAGCGGCAGAACGAAAGGAGAAGACCGAGAAGGAAAGAACTCAGAAGAAAGCTCAGAAGACTCATCAGGAGAGGCCGATGATGAGATGGATGTAGACGAAGATAGAGCCAGTGTACCGAGCCAAGCCTCCGACACCACGACATATAGAAGAGAACAGCACGGACCATCATACTAGTGATATGGAGTTGGACAGCATACATATGGACTCACCGAAATCTATCGCTGACAAGGAACAGGTGATTAACGACAGCAAAGACAAGACCGAAGGAGACTCGCCCGCCACTGGAGATGACTCACAAACGGTACAGACTGAAAATAACGAGATTACCAAGAACTCCAATGATAGTGAAAAAATTACAAAGGATGTTAGCAGTGAAAGGAATTCACCCGCGAAAAGTTGTTCTTGATGATAAAGATACCATTGTCATATCGGAGTCCGATGATAACAACAGCCAGAGCTGCCCTCTACCGTCAACCGAAACCAAATAATGTAGCTCCGGTACAAGTCCCCGCAGCCGATTCCAAAGATGTTAAAGACGTTGCAGAAAATGAGAGTCCCACTAAAGTTATACCTATAGTGTCCACGGAAAATTCCCACATCGTATTAGACGCGAAGGGTGATAGTAATCCAGTTAAGCCACCAGCGGAGCTCATTGTTCATAGACTGCCTCATTTTGAAACTATCGTCGTAGAAACGGAATCAGATAACGCTCATTCACCAGCGATCGTGTGTCTCCTAAGAAAAATGACAAAACGGTCATAAGCGAGTCGCCAAAAACAAAAGAAAATCTCCAGAAAAAAATACAGAAACACCTTTACGAGCAGAAGAAGTGCGACATGAGGAAGGAAACCGTGATCCATCATCAAAATATAGAAGAGAGTAAAAAAGGGCCGGAGAAAAAGACGCTCAATAAAATAGAAACCATCATACAGAATTTGGATCCGCACAGAGATATGACGAACACTATGAAGAAGAAGCCCGACCCTCCTAAAGACACGTTCAACGAAATGGATTCACGTAAATTACAAATGCCCGTGACCAGTAAGGAAAGTGAAATATCTTTCCGGAACGACATGTTACATGTGAGGAAGGATGAAATCGTGGTTTCCAGAAGTATCATAGAAAAACACGATGAACAACTACCAAAACTCAGTGAGCAACTCGATGACCATACAGCCGATAAACTGTCTTCAACTGCAGCATTCATATATGAATCATAGAACCAGTGTTAGTAAGGAGTCGCAGGCGGTGCAAACAGATAAACTACACGTTAAAACCCAGTGATCCCAACAGAGTGATTAATAACATGCCCGAGCCGCCGGTTATAAGTAAAAGCACGACAAAAACTAGAAGTGCCACATCCAATCACGTCACCAGTAGTAAACCCTGTTATACCAAAGGTGCCTAATGTATCCGACATCAGTTTTTTTACCCAGATGTCAGAGTGCGAATGCCGCTGTTAACTTAGGTATGGAAAGACCAGACCTAGATAACAATTTCACTAACAGTATACAAAGTTCGCTCAGCGGTTCTATCAATATAGTTCAAACGAATTCCCAAGATAAAACCGACCCCAACCAGAAACCTAGAGAGAAGAGCAAGCTCAGAGACGTGCGAGTGAACTCCGCTCACAGTAAAATAGAAAAAACTGAAAAGAAATCAAAAAACGAAACGCCCAGGAGTACGCCGGAGCCGAAGATGTTTTTTTCCAGACCAGAACGCCATCGCCGGCCATCGGAAGACAGAGACCTCGGTACCGACAAACGTGATCAACAGTGTGTCCGTGACGAGCAAACAAGACACGAAGACCAGCGAGGCTCCCAAGAAACAAGATTTTTTTAGGAAAGAGAAATCTAGTACCACCAAATGCGAGACTAAAAACACAATTAAACACGACAAGACCTGTTTCCTCACAGTTGAAGGCGGTAGAGCAGCAGAACGATTTGAATAAAATGTTGCCGAAGTTTAAATATGATAATGAATTAGTGCCTAAAGCGGATTACGCCATGAACCAAATACCGAGCTATCACACGACGCATGCGCAGTACGCGCAGTGGCCGACATGGGACCATACCCGGCTGCAGGGGACCTGGGACAACAGGTTCCTGGACATGAAGAACAATGATAAAAATTACTTGGAGAAATTCCAGGGATTTAATTTACCTCAGTTGGATCAAATGCAAAAAATCACCACAGAAACTCCATCCGAAGTACGACCACAATCTAGCTTACGGGGCTCTATCCAGCGGCCTGTACGCCACCACGGGTTTTACCGCATTTCAAAGAGACCAAGGCACCGACCTCCAAAGCCTCGGACTGCAATCAGAAGAACGACTGCAAGCCGACCAAGCAGTCCAAGACCACCACCGGCTGTCAAACACAGTGTGACAAGAAGTCCCCAGTCACACACCAACGACACGCACATGAAGCAGATGATGCAGCGGCAAGTGAACAAACAACAGGAGGTGGCGACCAGCTGCGCAGACTTTAGACAGCAGAGTCCGCAGCTGCTGACGTCACCGGGCTGCAAGACGCCCTTCAACCAAAACGGGCCCTGCGACAAGGACATAGACAAGAAAGGCCGTCAGAAGAAAGATGAGTCGCCCAAAGACACGAGTAAAGAAGAGATGTGCGAGGCCGTCAGCCCCGCTCTACAGTCTATGGGAGTATATACTCCAGACTCAACGAGTAATTCGGTTCATTCAGTGCAGTACCCCGCGTGCGAGCTGGACGTGAGTCAGCTGGGCCTGGAATCGCCAACCAGCATCAACTCGGACCTAGCGTCTCCTTGCTCCATGATGCACATGCACCCCGCGCCTAGCCCGCAGTACCCTCACTCCTCAATACACATACCGTCCATCATGAGCCAGCCCAACCAACCGCCTAAGCAACAGAAGATCAACAACAGGAACAGGTAATTACCCAATATTAAATAAGTAAGTGTAAGTCGTGGCGGCCTAGTGTTTAAAAGCTCGCCTCTCATGTACAGGACGCCGGTTCGAAACCTAGCTAGTACCAATGTGATTTTTCCGAGTCATATGTCCTATTTAAGAGTATTTAAAAAAATACAGTAAAATGACGTAAAACTAAGAATTTAACCATACATTTTATAACATATTTAACCATTCAGACTAATTATTTCAAAAATTCTTTTATTCTAAGAACTTGTAATAGTCATAATAGAAAATACAACCACATTGATCTATTTAAAAATAGGTAGTTTAAGTAAATTTTATAATCTTGTAAAAAAACTCATTAGTAATTAATTAATAGTTGTATTTTAGGTTACATCAAAATTAGTCCACTTCCCCATATAAACAGTAGTGGAAACTTAACTGCCATAAGTGTCAAATATGATTATTATTACAAGTTGTAATATACGATATGCTGTATGTTTCCCTAATAATAAATAAATAAATAAACATTTCAGGAGTACGGGCAGTGCGGGCGCGACCTCCAGTGACAAGAGCGCTCGTGGGTCCGGCACGCCGCCCGCGAGACACCGCGCCACGCCGCCGCACGCGCCGCACGCACCACACGCACCGCACGCACCCGTCTCACACGGTATTATATATATACTATAATATTAATACTACTATAATACTACTACTACTATAGTGCGTTTGATTTAAGCTGAGCTTTGCATTTGTGTCAGTGCACACGGATAGTGTAGGTGAGATGTCAAATTTTTTGAACGAATCTTTTTTTCTAGTTTTAAACCGGTTTCTACTGCTTTTACTTCGCACCGCACCTTCCTCACTTCACCTTTTGTACTGGTAGCAATATCAAATGTTGAAAACGTAATGTCAAAGTGAATAAGAATTTGTAGTTTTTTCAAAATTCTTATTAAACAATAATTTTTTTTCCTTAATATTCAAAATATTTCCATCTGGACTTTTACAAGTTTTGATTATTTTATAGCACTTATGTTATGTTTTTATTTAAGATGTAATAAAATTTTCTTCTAAAAGTTATTTGTCTAACTCTACTTTTACATTCATTCACATAAATGCAAAGGTCAGCTTAAGTCTAACGCACCATATTTACTTCAAGTATGATCATCACGAGATCTCCTTCCAATAAACATTAAAAAAGCAATAAAACTATCACAAATATTATTTTGATTACTACTACTACTTTGATACTTAATTTACTAATTAAGTTTAGTTACTTACTAATTAAGTCTACTGTATTAGTCTATACCATTAATAATAACTAACAAACATACTAAAGTTAGATTTCGGCGTGAATACATTCTCAAATAATATTACAATTTTTCAATTCATTACGAATCATGTTATTTTTAATTTAACTGCACGTTTGTATGTCATCTCGAGTGTAATCTATAAAGACGTACATAGTTTGATATATCGTGTGTTTAAGGGCGGATTAGAGTTCGCCCCCTCAGCTATACATATAATACATAGTCGCGGACAAAAACTAGTATTATATATTTCCCATTCATTACGGGTAGTCTGTTATTTAAAATTTTACCGGACGTTATAGTTCTCAACATTATAATGGTCGGGTGAGAAATCTAAGTGGCTCATAGTTTAATGTATCATGTTTAAGGGCGGATTAGAGTTCTCCTGGTCAGCTATACATGTATTACTAATTCCTGAATTAACGCGGACAAAAAACTAGTATTATATATTTCCGATTCATTACTAGTATTCTGTTATTTTGTTGTAGTTCTCAACATTATAATCGAATGACAAATCGATCGTGTCGTTCATAGTTATATGTATGTTGTGTGTGTGTTGCAGGCGGTAGTGTGATGCAGGGCGGCGGGTACCAGGGCGGCTACCTATCGTTCCAGCAGCAGCAGCAGTACCACGCGGGCTGGCCGCCGTCCTGCTCGCTCGCCAAGCTGCAGCAAATGGCCGACGCTCCGCAGCACCCGCCGCACACGCCGCCCGCTACGGCACAGGTACTTAACATATACTTATATACTACTAGCTGCGCCCCGCGGTGTTACCCGCGGATGTAAAGTAGCCTATATGTTATTCCTGGACGTCAGCTTCCTGTATACAAAATTTTATCAAAATCGGTTCAGCCGTTTGAGCGTGAAGAAGTAACAAACATACTCACACACAAACTTTCGCAATTATAATATTAGTAGGATATTTAACATATATCTCACTGACATTCTCATTATATCCTTAGATAAAATTTAAACCTCACTAGATTTATACATATCCATTACTGCAAATAACCATTATATGTATTAAAATGAAACTAATATTTTCGGATTTTTACATCGCGTCTTTATTTTTAATTATGAACTACATACTTCCGACGTTTCGGCTACTTTTCAGCAGCCGTGATCACGGGCAGGCGGACACTCACATCTCGTCTGCCGTAAAAATCCGAAAATATTAGTTTCATTTAAATGAGTATTCGCGAAAAATCTTAGATCTCATCATGGAATGTATGTTTTAATTGTTGTGTGTGTGATTTCAGTATGGTCAGCAGGCTGGGACGCCGCCGGCCGGTCATTACCACGCGCCGAAATACTACCCGCCCGCTCACAACCAGATAGAGTCGCCTAGGAACACACGGAACGCACCCAGTGAGCAATATAACACAACTTGATAACACATATACTATAAGATTTCTCTATACATTAATATACCTGGTAGTTAATGCCTGTAAAGTGATTATCTGTATGTATAAAACTGATTTTATATGTTCATATATGGACCCGCAACCCCGCTTCTAGAGATGATTGTGTATTGTATTCGAAGGTTTTGACTTTTAATTTTCAATTCCTGATCCTATTAATTAAATATACAGTCAGATTATGCGCATATATATATAAAAATTCGTCAGAAAATCTAGGAATCACTGAATTAATAAATGGGTTGTGTTGCCCTGAAATATGTCAGAAGCGACATCTATTCGTAATCAATTGTAAACTTGAGCTGTTTTATCTACAAAAGAATAACATAAATAAATCTAAATTCTTTATATATATTGAATATTTACTATTCCAGGTAACCTAAGTCCCATGCAGCATGTTCAAATGGGTCCAGGATCTCGAATGTCTCCAAATCTGAACACACACATCATCAGCCAGTATGGGTTAAACGGGTACCGGGTTCCCCCACAGCAACAGTTCAACAACCTGCCCGTACAAATGATGAACGTGCAACCCGGCGTGCAATACCCCGGGCCAGATCCTCGCGCGCAACAACCTAACGTGTACGCGTACGCGGGTTACATTAACCCACCACCGCCTCTCACGATGCAAACATTGAACTCGACTATGCGTCGGTAGCCGAGACAGAAAAACCAGTGCCGGAAACAGTGATGAGTGACAGTGAACAGTGAATGAGTGAAAGTGATTCACATATGAACAGTCATGATGAACTGGGCACTGTATGTATTATGAATAGGAAGTGACACCACTCGAGTTGCCTTATACGACACCAGAACGCTTTGAACTCTTTGGTTAACGAAGCAGCTGTGTATTATAGTTATATGTAAATTCTCTCTGATAATATGTAATAACTGATATCGAAGCTGAGTAAAGTACAAAATTGCTGATAAAATGTATCTAGATACTGTTGTATAGTAGTGATTATTGAAGGGATATGTAATTATATAGTGCAATAAGCCGGACGATTTGTTAATTATTATACTAGCTGTTCCGACCTGTACATGCCGTGAAGGTGTGTGCTCGAACATATAAATTAATGATTATTGTTAAATTACCCAAAGAGACATCTATATAAGTGTATGTCAGAATTAGTGCAATCATTTACGAGACGGTATGAGACGTTGGTGTATAATATTCGTGTTTTATATGTATATGGTGTGCCGTCGAGATAATGTACAGTCGGTGTATTGTTATAAGTTTTGTCTTCGGAAGTGCCTCTTTCTCGTCCCTTATGCTTAACCTGTGTAAGATATGAAGGTACCGCTTTCACTTAACACAAGGATGTATAAATAGTTAGTTGTAAGTATATCTGTAATAATTTTATTGATGTGATACTATCGGAGCTGCACAACGGGCCTAAAGAATGGTTGATTTTTATATTTTGGTATTTTTTTTTTTAAAATAATTAGCATAATAATTACAATATCTTTGTACGCTTCGCACTTAAGATTTTTTTTGTGTTTTCCCTCGTTAATTTATTGCCAAATGTTATTAACACTATGCTGCATAGGTATCTTAAGTTAGTTCTGTTAGCTTCGTCTATTATTTGTAAGATCTGCCCCTGTAAGGTTATGAATGTTATTTGTTACTAATGTGTAGTATAAAATATTGTAAATATATAACAATAAGACTTGTAGCAGGTGTTATTACACAAAATATAATTTTGTGAAAACTAAGCTCTTTTATTTAACCCCCACACCTCACTACTGGGATGTAGTTGACAAATACTTAACATGATTACTGAACAAAAAATATGTTTTAAATATGTATTTGAATATCCATGACACATGATTCAAAATGTTTCGATCATGAGTTCTGTTTACGTGAGCTTTTGTTTTCTATTTTTGCAATTAATTATACATTTTGTAGTTAAATAATGATATAGAGTTATAAATGAAATGAGATTTGATTTTGTTACGAAAGATATTTCGATCGCTAAATTTAGTGATGAATAAAGTAAAACAGGACAAATCATTTTTTAAGAAGTAACTAACTAACCCAAACTTTTAAATTTCTCCCGTTTTTTACACACTTACCACTATATCTTTGCTCCTATTGGTAGCAGTGTGATGTTATATAGCCCACACAGCCTTCTTCGATAACTGGACTATCCAACACAAGAATTATTCAATTCGAACCAGTAGTTTCGGAGATTAGCGCTTTCAAACAAACAAACTCCAGCTTTATAATATTACTATAGGTAAACCACTATGTTTAAATTTTAATTTTATCAAAACTTGAAGCGTTTCTCTGATGAAATTTATTTAACCACAGCAAGATAATGCATTATAGCCAAAGTATTATAGATTATATATATATTTTTTCATTTTATGAACACAATTATAATTGTAATAGGTAGGTGTTAGTGACTAAAATTACCTATAGACTAATATTTAACTCAAGTAAACTATACATGCTGCGTTGTGAGTGGTATTTAAAATTTGTTTGGTAGATAATGATAAGTATGTACCAGGCACTGAGGAAATGTTAAGAAGCTAGCAAAGTGTAATTGATTGCTTAGGGAAATGGAAAAAAGTAATCCCCTCTAAAACTAGTTATCAAACAGCAAAAAAAATATCGTTTTTTCTAAGTAGTGAAGTAATTTTGATTAGGGAAGAATGGACAAGGGCATTAAATCCCTTGTATATTAGATATGAAGCGATGAAACAGTTGCTATTCTTTACCATACTTTGGACTTTTTTTGGACTATATTTCTTAGTCAAATATTTATTTAAATTCGAATAACACGAAAAATCCAGTAAAATGTTTAAGATGCACAAAGCTGTAAAATTAACTCCCCTTTATTATACCCATAATTGTTTCCTTTCCCCCTTTTTGATGATTTCTTTTCAGTCCCGTCACAATTGTTTTTCATTATATAACAATTTAACCAGCTTTTAAGTATTTTCTTTAGTTCCTAAAAATTCTATTCTTTAAAAATGTTTACAAACAAATTTCAAGTTGCAAAGAAGATTTCTTGTAAGACTTTACTTATTCATTAAACAGTTTTTGAATTTGCGTTTGAACTCATTTAAAATTTTTTTTTGTAGATATTTCCTTTAAATGAAATACATGTTTATTGAAAATATTTTTAATTCTCCTATAATCATACAACATGACTAGATAAATCTATTTTCCCTTAAATACAATTATTTTACTCAAATTTTTAAAGATGCCTTATTGTTAGGCCAACATTGAATCAATATTTTATAGCAATGCATTTTAATTTGTTTTTATTCAAAATAATAATGTAAATAAAATAAAAATTTAAATAAAACAAAGTATATTTTAAATAAAACTATTCTATGAGGCATTAATGGCACAACCCTTTTCCCATTATAAGGATAAATTATAGACAAATAAGTAATCTTACTTAAATTGACATAATAATAAAAATTAACATAAAAAAAGTCTAATACATCTTTTCAGATTAATCATAAATTATTTTTAAACCTATCATTTTGCTACATTTTTCCTTATGTGTTATAGAGATAGAATTGTCATATTTCAGTATAAATATGATTGTGATATAGCAGCTGCCCCAATTCTTGTTTAGAAAACCAATATTTTGTGAAATGGTCATTGTACCTACGAAAATATACACACAAATAATTACATATTGTATATAATGGAAAACATTTGCTAGATAATCTTTTTTGTTGTACATTTAACAGAAATTCAATTTATTTATCTAAAGCTATAATAATTATATATTAAATAGCGACAAACTCCGGAGCAGGAACTGGTTCTGTCGGCCTTCTATCCAGATGAACTCTGTTTCTCATTAATTGCAAGCTATTCTCTGTCACTTTTGTACAACCTCGTACAAGAAGGCCTTCTAATTTTGGACAGTTGAATGCGAGAGCCCTGGAATTTTGTTTAAAATAGTGTTTTGTCATTGAGAAATTTTACAAATACTAAATTTACGCTTTCAAGAAATATATTGTGAATAATGTTAAGAATTATTAGTAGTTATTACACATACCTTACACCTTTATCAGTAATTTCCGAGCAGCCTCCTAAGTTGAGTAGTTTTAATGACTTGCTATACTTGGCCATAGTGTACAGACACTTGTCCGTGATCTGTTTATTGCCTTCTAAATTAAGAGTCTTCAAATTTCTAAATTTCTTAATAAATATAAGTATGCAACTCTCTGATATTGCCGCACAGTGTGCTAAATCCACTTCTTCTAATAAACTCTGGTGAAGCGCGAGGGCCTCCATTGCTCCTGTCGTCAGCCAATAACATTTAGACAGCTTTAAGACTTGCAAATTACTACAGTACAATATTGCAGGCTGTAAACATTTAGCGGACAAATTTTTACATTGACTTAAATTTAAACTAATCAGCCCTTTATTGTTGAGTAGTATAGGAATCAATTCCGCGTCCGTGATGGAAGCACACCTACTGAGATTAAGAACTTTTAATCTAGTACAATTCACAGCGAAGACCTACGACAAGAACCAGAGTCACGTACATGTTTATTATTAAAATATCAGTCGATATTATTGTATATCCTGATAAGTACACAGTTCATGAATCCTAAATACATATATCAATTCTTACTTGAAATGTGTGAGGCGAAAATCCGTTATTTATGAGCTTCAGTGTTCTAAGTTTTGCGAAATACATATTTATAATTTGAAGACATGTTTTAGAAACGCATCGAAAATTAAAACATTCCCGTATGTTTAGATACGGAATTACTTTAGCCACCAATATATCTTCCCAATATAAATCAAAAAAATGCTTATTTCTTTTTAAGTTCATAATTTAATAGAATCCAAACAAATATATATGTTTATTTATTTTTCTTCGTCTGACAATTAAGAATTGTGTATATCCCTAACGTCAATTGCCAAAAACAAATTTGTTCCTTTTAAATCAAATATATAAGGTTTAGCATCTCGCTTTTTCAGTTACTATAAAAGATTTATCATACTAAATATATGAATAATAATTAATATACCATAATTTTCTAATTTTCCAATCATTTATATATTGAGGGTATAAGAAGGGTATTATTTTGAGACACACAGTACAGACTTTTTATGTATTAATCCAATAAATACTCGACATGTCTGTGAAATACTGGCATACTTGTGAAATTGGGACTATAGTAACGCTTAATTCTCGTTGCATAATATATAATAGGGGAGGAATGGAAAAAATAATCATTGATTGTCGGTAAATCGATCATGTTCTAGGTGTACAAATACAATCTTGAAATGTCAATGACCATCATAGAATAGGTACAGCGAAACATGAAACTCTATGACGAGTTTTCAGGTATGGCAATGAATTTCGAAAGCACTATTAGACTGCACAAGTATTTGTACTGAATCATATTCTAAGATAGTTACTTCTACAGTTATTCTAATTAAAATTTAACTTTAACTTCTATTATGGCTTAAAAAATAGAGATATTTGAGACTCCACATTGCAATCACTTAATTATTAAATAAATATTTCAGGAGTTAAACTCGTAGCGCCCCTGTATATTACAGGGGATACTTTTTTACTATTATTATAAATAATAATAGTAAAAAAGTATCATTATATGTTTATTGTCCACTCTGCCTCTATTAATTTAATTAAATCGATGGAAAATTAATTATATATTAATAAGTACTTACACAAATCAAACATAACCTTTAGTCATTCATTTACATAATTAGTCACGTCTACTTTGTAATTGTGAATTTATTTTAATATATTACTTAAGTATAATTAAGATAAATGTAGGTATAAGTAAATATGGCGTAGTGAGATGTTTTTATGATTCTTGATGAGTGGGGGGTGCGACATGAGGCAGTAAGACTAAAAATACACAAGATTTTTAAAAATATATAAATCTCTGCATAATCATGTTAGAATCTGTTTTAATTTACATATGTAGTAGTAAAAAAGTTATTTTACATTTTTAATTTATCTGTTAACTAAAACTACATAGTTTCACACTATAATAATCTAAAAGTATAATTACTATAATTAACGTTTTTTTGGTGTATTTTTTACAATTTTTCAATATTAGTTGCTAGGATAACGCCAAGGTTATCACGCTTCTAAATTGCTACTTCTAAGTTATGCTTATTGATGTGTCTATGATTATACTGACAATTTTTTTTTTTTTTGGATGACGTAATGGAAACTCTTTTTACGAGCCGTCCAACCGACCTTGGTGGGGCCGGAAGGAATGTATGAGGCTCGGGCTGGGCAGGCCCCTAGTCACTAAACTTATACTGACAATGTGACAACACATGACAATGGTATTAAGAGAAAATAGTACTCCGGTTAGTTTAAGGCAGAGTTCTTAATGAAAATACTCAATAGTACAGAGTCCGTATAGAATGTTCACGAAGAATGAAATTATTAATATTATGAGAATATTACAACGTTTAACGACAAAAAAGGAGCTATTTAAATCACTAGTTTTTATTTAAACAGTCTTTTTGTTGGAAAATGTAATGGTCGTGTACGCCAGATTACTCAGTAGGTATAATTATTAAAATGAATATGTTTTGAGTTACATCTCACATAAACTTATACTTCAAGGTCGGTAATTAGGTACTTTTTATCAAAGGTACATTGTGCATGCAGCAAAAAATGCATAATATTTAGTTTTTGACTTTGTAAAAACAATTAAGGTTGTCTTTGCGTAACGGACATTGACTTATGTGGATTTTATAGCAAAGAGTCTTGAGTCTAGACACCAAGAAAAAAAAACAATATACATATTTATTTTTCGAAATTTTCCTAAATTTTTTAGAAATCTTTTCTTTCGCTGTTTCATATTGTCAAAGTGCCAATGCTGCTCATGTTTTTGACTATGTCGAATTTATAAACAAATCAATTGCGCCTTCAAGACCCCAAATTTTCTACTCTTTGGATGTTGTTGTAGAACTTTCTCAAATCCGAACGAAGTGAGATCTCACTCCTTCCTAATTACAGCAAAGGATGTAAATTGTTTGTCTGCATCTGTATTTCCTTCGAAATATAATTTGGGAGTCTTTAACAAATAACTGAATAAGCTGTTACTGAAATAATGAGTTCACCAACTCGACCTCAATTCCACCTCCAGACGGTTGGAATGACTATAAAGAAGAAATTGATATAAAAAACCATCCACAATAATGTTAATCTTACGGTTAATTTAACTTGGTATTTTGTCTGACGTTCATGCAATCACGTAATAACTGTGGAAATTATCAAGGTCTTTACTGGGATAGTGCGTTTATCATTAATTCTACATTTCTACCTACCATCAACTGGGACTATGCTCAAGAGTATGAGAATTACATCTATATAAAAGAAAGTTGTGTTAGTTACAATATTTACAATTCGGGAACGGCTGTATGGACATAGTTGAAAATTGGTCGGGAGATAGCTTAGAACCAGGAGATAGACATAGGATGTTTAATTCTGTTCAATAAAAACAAAGAAAATTAATAAATTACAATATCTGGTTATACATGGTCATTATATTTCTAATTGCGAAATTAACGCGGAAGAAGTCGCGGGGAAAAACTAGTATTTAATAGAAAAATATCCAATTGGTATAGCTGATTAATCTTTGACTATATACAGATACGTTTTTAGTGTGTGTTCGACTGATGTCTCATTAATATTAATAAGAATAAAATTTTGAATATAAATGACTTTGAGTTATTTTTAAATGTTTTAATTAAAATTCATGCAACTTAGGCCACAAAATCACAGGTTTATTTTAAAAAACTTGACATCGGATGTGGTGTTTTATTTACAATCAAAGTATTATTTTTCTTGGTTGGCCAATATTAAAATAAATTGTATATTATAGAGGAATATTAAGTTGAATTAGATTAAATTCATATTTCTAATATTTCCAACAAATCTTTCATAATAAGCTAGGCTATTGTTGTTCCGCTTCTTGCCTTTTATCTTCGTCAATTACTAAATTAGATAAATTATATTATATTATTGCATTATCAAGACATTACATGACTTCTCAATTGCATTTCAATCAAGTATGTACAGTTTGAGTTGAATTAGTTTCGTCAAAGGAAGCGATTGTAAGTTGATTGTTACTGCACATAATAACTGTGACTTCACATTTTAAACGTAATAGCGTTTAATTACATATATTTAAATTACTTGTATTGGTATGTTTATGAAAAGATTTTTCATTGATAAAATATGGTAATTAGGTTGAATTATTATTAACCATATAAGTATAAGATACACTTTTAAACATAGTGAGTACAAAGTATTGTGATGTATTTTTATCGTTTTAAAGACTCACTGGCTAATGCTTTATTGCCATTCTAGCCAAAAGTAAGTTGAAAAAGAAGCCTTACATAGGGAACATACTATCTCAGTAAAAGACTATTGATTTCTGTCTTAAATAGTAAGTAGTAGGAAATAAGGATGCAGGTAAACTGTTTCAATCCATGCTGTAGTCATCAAGAAAGATGAAGAGAGATAGACTTCATCCAGGTTCAAGAAAAATCTGCAACGAAAGGGTTTCATCATGATTTTAGTTATCTACTAGGAAAGAGGAGATAAAGAAATCAATTCCCAAAATTATTGCGAGCTGTCTACAATACAGTTTGTTTTAAAATATGTTTAGGCTGGCTACATTACACCCGTGTTCAAGATTGACTAGACTGGTTTAATTCATATCGTAGTACACACAATTAGCATAAATAAAAGTATCTCAATAAAGTCCACAGACCTAAGACCTAATTTTAATTACCTGATTAATTTATTTTTATTTCGTTTTTCAAATCATCTTTTTTCTGTTATATCAAATACATTCCATTGACTTTTTTTATCCATGCGTGTATAAATTATAAATTGGAAAATTTTCCTACGATTCAGTCAAATTATAAGAATGAATATAAGCTGCGATTTAAGGCTATAAATCAAAAAGAATTTTAGACATAATTAGTGTTTTTTTAGACATATTTTTTGTATCGTTACGTCTGTCTGCATATAAGAAATATTATTTCAAGTCTTAGGTTGCTAGAGTTATTGTTATGTCAAACAGATTAGTGTGTGCTTCTGTGCTAGATACATGTCTAAGCTAAAATTATAACATTGAACATCTTAAAATAATAATACAAAAGTAAGTTATATTATCAAACTATTTATTAAGTAGAATGCTATATTTTGTTAGGTATTTGTGTTTTTTTTTGAGTGAAATAGCATAATCTTAGATAAATGTCAAGGCTTACTGCCTTTTTGTTCTTTAGTGCAAGACTAATATTTTATATTTGAGGGACATTTGCATTCCATTTCGAAAGAGGTTGTTGTTTTTCAGATATTATAGCATCCCTTATTTTTCGTGGTTAAATCGTATATCACTATGACGATGGTTATTTTTTGTTATTGAATATCAAAAATTATCAAGTTTCTTCGAATATATAATTAAAATTTAATTCAACTCATAATTGATAGTTTCTAAAACATTTTCTTGTGATACTTCTATTTTTTTGTTTAACTACGACTACTCATTTCCTTTAACAATCATAGTTATGGGAACATGTTATGGATTTATTGCAGTAATATGCTATATACAGTTATTTTTTAATGCTTGAGTTTTAATAACATACAATTAAAACCTATGTCCTATGATTTAATGTTATGTTATTTCAGTTAATTTAATGTTATGAAGTGACTGGTAAAGCGGCTTTATTTGTTTAGTTATTGAAAAGTCTTAAATTGTTCGCTATATATTCGTCGTTCGTATAACTGCAACCTTTATACAGGGTGACTGGTGAATTACTATCGATACTTGAGGACGTGATATTTGACGATCATATATGACAAAATAAAAATTAATATAACATAAATATTAATAAACTTCTAAGTAAAGTTAACCAAAAGTTATGTAATTAATTACGCATCGTGTGAACACCCTACAGATTAGGTATACACACACACACACACACGCGTGCGGCGGCGTGGTGTTGTATCAGCACGCCGCCGCACGTGTCCACACTTGGAACACTTGGAACGTGTCCACACTTTATTTATTTATACGGAAATTTGGTCAAAAATTAAGTACCTATTTTTTTTACATAATTCGAATGAGAATCATGTACCGAGTATTCTCCTTAAATATTGATAGTAATTCACCAGTCACCCTGAATATTTTTAAAGTGTTTGTGATAAACCTATTTTTAAATGGGTGAACCTGGAAAGAGGTTGCAGGTACAAAATAAAGTGACAGATTCAGTTGTTCATAAACATTTTTGAAAAAGTCTTCTCAAATAATTCCCTATATATATTTTTTTTAAGATTTTCGTTTTATATTTGCTAATGAGATTATAGTAACAGATGAAATGGAATTATTAATTGTTTTTTTAACCATCACTGTTAATAAAAGTTTTTGTTTTTACAGATGATCGTGTCTCTGATTTTATTAATAAGTTTTCTCTATATATTAAGCTTTTCGATAAATTGCCGAACTCGATTATTATTGAAACATCTACCTTCGTATACTCAATTCCCTTTTTTGGGATCTATGCATAAATTTATTAACATAAGCGGGAAAAGTAAGTTATCTCCTTCACTTTAATCAATATTTATTTTTTTTTGTATCAAAAAAGAAATTTAATGAAATGAATTGAATAATTTTTAAGAAATCCTGCAGAGAATTGAGGAATTTTCAAAAATATCAGATGAAAAAGGTCTTCCCTTTGTTGTATGGTTTGCTCACCTTCCTATGATAAGTAAGTATTTTCTTTGATATATCGTTTTTATATTCAGTTGAATTATTTAAATCCTTTCCCTAGTTCTTAGTAAGCCAGAAGACGCCAAAGCTGCAGCACAGACTTTTGTGGAGAAGCCTTACTTCTACGATTTTGGTAAAATATGGCTCGGGAATGGTCTGGTAACGGCACCTGGTAAGTTTTCATTATTTTTTTCATTTTTTATTAACATTGGCATAATAATACGTCATCGTATGACTTGGAAAGTTTCCAATTTAATTATGTTTATTTTAAGCTGCGGTTTGGAAGGAAAACGTAAAAAAAAATTTGGTGGCACTTTCACCCGTTCCGTTGTGAGTAGCTATCAGGAGGTTTACAATCATCAGGCGAGAAGATTGGTGGAAGAACTGAAGGTACACGTCGGCAAACCTCCCTTTGATTCAATGCACTGTATAGCTCATAGAACTTTGGAAACAATTTGCCGTGAGTGATTCTGATATTATAAATGATATTAAGCTTTACAGATGTCGAAATGAAACGTAATAGACAAAAAAAATATCATTGTCCGTCTAATTTAGAACATTAGCTTACTAGTTTCTGAGTAAAAATTAAAATAAACACAATCCTAATTTTTTTTTTTATAAAAATGCTTTAATTCCTTCTGAAATCCTTCTTTTGTTATTCCTCACAGCAATTCCTCATAAATTTAATTTAATATTTAAAACTGTGTGCTGTTAATATTAGTTATATTGCATATAGTTTTTATTCAGGAATCATATTAATGTTTTAAATAGGAAATAGTTTTTAGTATAAGGGAGGTAATGAGATCTAAGATTTTCGCGAGTACTCATTTAAATGAAACCAAAAATTTTGGATTTACTACGCGATTTTTTTATTTTTGACTATAAACATACATATTCTCAACGCGCCGGATCGGTTACGGTGTCATATCATGAGCGCATTCTGCCGGCATCCAGAGCGGTACGCCAAAAAATTAAGAAATCGATGGCGGTAGGTGATAAAATAATAAATAATAAATAAGACCGACTGACATTCACATCTGGTCTGCCCGTGATCACGGTTGCTGTAAAGTAACTGAAACGTCGGGAGTACGTAGTTTCTACTTCTTCCTGGCAATTTCCCAGCTTTAGCCAGGGTCTGCGAAAGGGAGTATGTAGTTTGTAGTCAAAAATAAAAAAATCACGGAGTAAATCCGAAAATATAAGTTTCATTTATAAGTGAGGTAATTTAAAACCACCGTGAATGAAAGCGTTGTGTACAGTAGAAGACTGACGGATAAATTTTGAACTATTAGATTAATTACAACTTCATTCATTAATTATTGCAGCTAACAGAGCCGTTAAAGATATGATCACAAAAATTTTATAGCTGTTAAGTTTCCTTCTTTTATGCTACACAAATTATAAGGTCGTTTTATCATTTTCAGAAACGGGACTTGGTTACACGGATTTCACTGATAATATTGTAACGGAAGAATATTATGACGCCTTTAACAGATCCTTAGAATTGATACTTTTAAGAGGTTTTAACATCCTATACCATTGCGATTGGTTATATCGGCTCACTTCAGGATACGCTGATATGAAAAAACAAGTGGCGGTCTTAAATAGCGTTTCGGAGACTGTGAGTTTGATCAAGTTAATTTTATGTAGAATTTAGTCATATTTTTGTTTGATTACTATTATTCTGTTTATGGAGCCCCGATGTATAGTAGGAGATAGGATTTATTTTATGCCTAGGGCGAGAGTACCTACGAGATAGAAGACCAAGCCATTGATAGCCAAAATCGGCTTTGTATTTTACATTTTAATGAAAATTCAAAGATAGTTTCATTCAATTAATTTTTTAATGTCAAGTTATCCCAGGATTCGCAAAACAGGTTTTATAGACTAGCAATGTGTGTGATTTAAGTCAGAATTGCCCCCCAAAATAATTGTATATTCTGTTTTAGATAATAAAAAAGAAACTACAACGGAGACAAAAAGAAAAAAACAACAAGAATACTAATGAGTTTGTACAAGGTAGGTGATAAAAAATACATACGAAGTCTTTGTAATAACAAATTTCTATAAAGCTATGCTTTTTATCCTTTTAGAAAAGAAGCCAAGTTTTAAGTCGTTTTTGGACATATTATTAGATTTGAGCGAGAATGATCCTAGTCTTACTGAGTATCAGATCATGTCGGAGGTGAACACTTTGATAGTTGGGGGACAGGAGACGGTTGCAGTCACTTTATTCTTCGCTTTCCTGATGCTCGGCAGTCATCCTGATGTGGAAGAAAAACTACATGCTGAGTAATTGACTTACTTTTCTATTCAAACATGTTGCACAACCAATGATCTATTTATTCAAGAAAGAAGAAGTGGCTAAAGGAATTTAGGATAAAACTGTACAATTTAATCAAGATTTTTTGTCTATAAATTTCTCAGTTTGTAGTTTCTTTTATATATGTACTGAACACTTTTAATGAATATTTGATGAAGTAATATTGGAAGTAATCTTTATATATAAAAGAAAGTTGTGTTGGTAACACTATTTATAACTCAAAAACAGCTTTACAGGTAGTGCTGAAAATTTGTGGAGAGATAGTTTAAAACCAGGAAAAAGTAATAGGATACTTTTCATGCTATCAAAAAAACAAAACTTAAATTTAAACCATGTTGTATGGTATTATACCTAGTTAAATTTTACGAATCGTTTGTATGGGAGTGTATTATTTTTATCCCTTTTAAAATATTTTTTTAACTTTTCTTCTCGTGAGATCTATTCTCATAGTTCAAGTAATATTCAAAAAAAATTATAAACCGATATAGCTGCTTTCGATATTTGCTCTAACCAACACATTCCGTGATGCATTTTTATATTATAGACTAGCTGCGCCCCGCGGTGTTACCTACGGATTTCCGAGATTTCCGGGATGTAAAGTAGCCTATGTGTTATTCCTAGATGTCAGCTTCCTGTATACAAAATTTTATCAAAATCGGTTCAGCCGTTTGAGCGTGAAGAAGTAACAAACATACACACACAGTCATAAACTTTCGCAATTATAATATTAGTAGGATTATTAGTTTTATGTATTTCTATCTATTATATTTTATTAGCTTTTGTATTTATCTTGTTATGCATATTAATTAATATAATGTTATAACTTTTTTGTAAGGATGTAGTATTAATGTTTTTAATATAAATATACATAGTTATTTCCTCCATTTAAATTCCTATTTCTTTGTTAATGAGATGCTGGCAGATCTCTTTCGAGTGAATGCCTGGATTATGTACTCAATTAATTTCCTTTTATTTCTGTTTATATAAATGACATACATATATACCTTTCAAAGCATATACAAATTACGTTTGTGTATATAACATAGGTATTAAGTTATTGTAATGCTCTTGATGTACTTTCAGGGTAATTAATATTTTGGGTGACAAGCCTGACGTAGATAAAGAAGATCTCTCCCGAATGGTGTACTGTGAAGCAGTGATTTTTGAAACATTACGTATGTTCCCACCCATACCCACGGTCCTGCGGTATGCTGATCGGGACCTCAAACTTGGTAATGTCACAAACAAAATATTTTTATTTTATCATCATCATCATCGGCCTATCAGAGCTCACTGCTGAGTAAAGGCCTCTTCTCACATGGATAAGGTTTGAGTATTAATCACCACGCTTGCTCAAGACGGGTTGGCTATTTCAAACTTATAATTTGCAATAATAAGCCCAGTTTCCTTACGAAGTTTTCCTTTAGCGTCTGTCAGTGGTGTCTAAATTCTATTAGAAAGTACATATGACTCGGAAAAGTTATATTGGTACTGCGCTCTCATGCACGGAAGGAGGGCCTTTAATCTCTAGGCCACTACGATCTTTTATTTTATATTAAAATAATGTTTGTTGAGGATGTGTTTAACAGTGTCATGTGTCATAATTGTTCGTAACCTAACTTCAGATTCCTACACCATTCCACGAGGAACGACTGTGGTTCTCAACGCGTGGGGTTCAGGACGGTCGGAGAGTTTGTGGGGGAACCAGGCGTCTTCTTTCAGACCAGAAAGGTGGTTATATGGAGAACCCTGCATGTCCTCATGTCTTGCATTCAGCGTGGGTCGGCGGTCTTGTATAGGTAAGCTATTGGTTTAGTCAAATAGGTTGAGAAGAGTTGTTTAGCGCTAAATAATGAGAATATTTATCTTGGGTTTCTTAAAATTTGTTTATTTTTGTCAAATACAGTAAATTTAACTTTGTAATTGATTTAAACTTCTATAATTTTTTGTACTTAAATTACATAGTCTTTGCATGGTTTATACTAAAACAATTATTAATTTTAGGTAGGACCTACGCTAACGCCATCTTGAAGACGATGCTGTCTCACTGTGTTAGAAGATTTAGGTTTCATTCAGATACTAAAAAATTAAAAATAAAAATGGATCTAGTTTTGCGTCCTATTAGCGGACATCTCTTAGAGGTGGAACTAAGAAATGATTCTCATTAGGAAATCTAAAGAGTTGGCATATGTAGTTAATTTTTTTTAATATTCATATTTCTTTATATACACTCATGATACCCAAAAAATTACATATATTAAATATGTTGTAATGGTCTTATATGATTGAATTGTAATATATCGACCATTAAATTTCCTTTTCTAGAATAAAACATGATGTATATTATGTTTATTTATTTTATTGAATAAATTAGCTTGTTAACAATATTTTAATAGCTTGTTATTAAATCAATGTGATTTATATAAGTATACTAAATATAAGAGAAATATAAAATAATAAGTTTACTTCTTTTGTCTTAAGTAAAATAAATCAACAGAATGCTAGCATGATGATTTTTGTCTTCATCAAAAGACATCTCATAATAACTTCTTCATGATTGTGTTTTTTTGTCATTTATTTATCAGTTTGAGATACTACATAAGATGAAAAAAAGTATTTTATGTTTCTATATTACAGAATTTAATCTTCTCTTTGGGATGATATTTCTAAATTCTTCAATGTTACATCGTGTTCGTTCGTGTATTGTAATACCAACAATATTTTTATTCTCATTTAAATAGCTAACACTTCCAAGAGAAACTTAGATGCTGATGTTTTTAAACAGAAATTTATAATTTGCTATATTTACTTTATTCTATAACATCAACTGTATTACATAAGTCTTCAGAAAGGATATTAAAATGAGATTAAATATTAAGCTTTTGTCATCATGAGCTTTTTAATAGACTAAAAATTTACTTATGTTTTTTCACAGTCAGTGAATCCCTATGTCTGTATTAATTTACTTAGAAAGTATAGTGCCGATTAAAGAAATATTTGACTTAGTTTTTAGTCAAGTTTAAAAAAGTCTTTAACAGTTTGGTTTATAAATTACCAAGATGCAAGATGTCAGTGTGCTAAAGACAAAGTTCGGAGTCCATGTCTCTAAACACTATCAATAACTCCTTAACTAAAAACTAATGTAAAGGTAGCCTTACCAAATATACCTACGTATTTACGAAATACTTAAAAATCTGATTGGCTTGAAGGAAAAAGAATACTTGTAAATTTAAGATTTTAAATTGGTCTTTTGTTGAGATCGTGTAGTTATTTCATTAAACCAATTCAGAAGTCTTTTTTAAAAATCAATACGTTGTTTATGATTATAATACATTATTTTATAATTATATTTTAATTGCCTTCACTTTACTTAACATTTTTTTTTACTTTTGACAAAAGGGGCAAATGTTAAGACGACCTATCTGATAGAGGTAGTACCGTCGCTCATTGAGATCCGCAACATAGTTTAGAGGATGCCTTTCCACCCTAGATTAAAAAAGAAAGAGAGGAAAGGGTAGGAAAGGGGAAAGGGCAATCGGTTCTCTCACTCATCGGATGTAACTCATCCATTAAGGACTCCTTCACACCGATCTATTGTAAGAGCGTGGTGGTGGTCGAGTCAGCCTATATTCGAGCTATAGTAATATAACCACAGCTAGGCTCTACTACCTAAAAAAGTTTTTTATAAGTCACCAGGTGGTCTATGATAACCCATCATATCTTATATCTCTGAAAATCAAACAGTAGATAGTAGAAATAAAGTAAATAACGACAATAATATTGACCAATCAACTGTAGTTTTTTTACTATTATCTTTCTAAAGCTACCTCTTTTACATATTATGACATGTATTTCTAAAGTTCCATCTTCCTGAATTACATTGCTATTAGATAATACAGTATTCATGCAGAAGATTTTAAAGTGGTATATGCGGAATATGTAGATTTGATGACAGACATTAAATATATGAAATTAAGAATGGCTATACCACCAGCTGTTAGAGTCATAGTCTTCTGTGAAGATTGTAGCATAAAAAGAACTGTCTTCTGATTGGACAAATTGAAATTTTCCCATTTACAATCGTAGACTGCTGTCTCGAAAGCTATGCTAGCATCAATTATCCTTTGTCCAATATAACAATCTATGAAGACAGTGCCAAATGTAAATGGCAATTGTATCAAAGTGTTTTCTAAACCGCCGACTAATTCAGTTACAAGAGCGAATATCGTAAATATGGAGTCATTCACGAATATGAAGCGAAGTTCCTTTTCAACTTTATTTCGGAGATTTATATTCATGATGTGGAACTTCAAAATATCTCGAAGACGATTCTTTATAAATATATTTCTCACTTCATATTCGTCACCAGATTCGTTGTGCTCAAGTACATAATAGTCGTAGAATTTCTTACTATCTTCCCAGATATTCGTCAATTCCACACTCAGAGCTAGCATTTGGGATTCAAGGAATCCAATGATGACTATAATGAAGAGTGTTATATGTACCATGATTGAGACAGCAAAATATACGGATGATATCGTTAGAATTGATGCTATTTCATAGTTAGGAGACTCCAACATTGGGTCCAAACCTAGATAAAATATGTGATATATATTCACAGCAGTTATACTTATTGTTATTTTAATAAACACTTACCATACATAACATACATGTCTTGAGTCAAATGGCGTCCAGATCTCATTAATGGAAGAGTGGCAAAAACTGCGGCGTTCATTGTCAATACAAACCAAGCAACAGTTGCTTGTTTCTTAATAATTCTCATATTTGCAAAGAAATTTTTCTCAAAACGAGTTCCTTTAACTATCAATTGGTTACAATTTAAATATTCATCGACTAAATCCATCACCGCTTCTCTGTAAGTAATGTTTAGTAAAATTATCATTAACTATTTGACAGTATTTAATTTAGAAAAACTGTCTTAAGTTTTTTGAAGATTATCTGACAGTCATAAGTCTAACCAACAATAAGATGAAATACTATATAACAATATAATTAAACAAAATCTCCTGATTCGTATATAACTTTCGTGTTTTATTATTTTACATTTACCCCATTGTTTACATTTACGTAAGAGCAATCATGGAATGAGAAGTGTTTTTTGTTTTCACATGAAATTTTATGAAAAGCAAACAAGCAGACGGCTTCTTGATGGGAAGTATTCCCGGTCATCAATGTATTCGTTCGATCTTCAGTAATTTTACCACGTCTAGGCTCTACCATTTCTTGATTTCCACAATGTATATTCAACAACTTGAATAAGGACATATATGATTCTTTAAACTTAAATAGGACTGCGACTTTTTTTGTAGCTTGGTGTAGTTTAGAAAAGTGAAGGGCAGTAACAGGACAATCGTTAAGGACTTATCTCAAAACTGAAAAAAGGACGTCTGGCAAGGTAGCAGTAACAAAATGCAAAATCTCAAGATACTATTAGAGTTCTGCAGGAAACTGCACGAGAAAATCGAGAAACCGTCGGAGACAAAAAGAGTAGCTGAAAGAAATGTTCATCTCGGATGCCTATGAAATACTGCTGGGAGGTAATCAATAGACGCGGAGACCGGGTAAAATGTGTGACCGAGTGTTCACACAAAAATCATAGGCACATAAATAATTATGTACATAGATACATACTTAGCTTAGCAATATGACTTGATTAGTTTTATTGATTTTACTCACCGGTAATATTTCATGTAAAAGATCTTAGGTACACAGGGAACACTGCACATTAATAGTGATAAAGCTATCATGGCGTTGATGAAGTCGCCAGTCTCTCTATACCACACCAAAACGTACCAAGCAGTCGAGAACATATACGAGTAGAAGTAACAGAGTCCAGTGAAAATTGTTGTGACATAAAAGATCCAGGGAATTTCTAAAATTATTGGAATGTAATCTTTAGTTCTATTACAAAAAACAAACATAGATTTTTTTTGGCACAACAGATAATATATTCCCGAATTTTAGTACATCTCAGAACATTTATATTTATCTTTATTTAACAAGAAATACAAGTTTTTCTTTACACAGTAATCTTTGTTTTTAAGGTAATTAACATTCCGGGATCTTATATTTCTACTATATCTATATTACCTAAATTTGAATTAATTGGTGAGTTTAAATAAAACTTACTCTTGTTGTACTGTCTATTGGCTCTAATAGTTAACATTCGTAATAAAACTTCGAGATTATATAGCATCGTCGGCAGATCGCAGTACCTCAAACCGAATTTTTCGAACATTTTTGCCATTCTTGTAGTCTCGGTAAACCATTAGTTTTAACGTCAAGTAACAAAGAAATGATAAAGGTGTTTCATATCAAGTTAAAATAGCCTTGGAATGTCAAATAACTTGATACATTTTGTATGCAGTTAAGTGTACTTACTAATTACATTGAGTTAATATTTGTTGTTCGAATCGATATGTAATAATATATTTTTTCTTAAGCTCATCGATATCATAAAACACAGAGTAATATTATTGTAGTAAAATAATTTTTGAGTAGATAATATGATAAATAATAATAAAGGCCTGTGAAAAGTCTTTTCTTTGTTTAAACAGCGGAGTAATCAGGGAATATAATAGAATTGGTTTTAATTAACAACTCTGTCTTAGTGATTTCGGAATCGGGCTCAAGGTATAGTCTGTTGAAACACTAGATGTGACAATCAAATGTTTTCAAAGCAATAACACTATTATGCCATTATACCACTCCAACTACAAGAAATTAGAGGATGTATTATACATAGATTATTATATGTTATTCTATTATAAAATCTTGTATATAGTTTTTTCTTGAAAGAATTACAAACATCCATCCATGCTTCCAGTAGTCACATTATAATATAAGTATGAAAATACTGAAAACAAAAAAATATATTTTAAAATTTTGAAGTCGAGGCTGAAAACTAAAAACAAAAGAACTAAACTCAATGTCAAAGCAAATTAAATTGTCTTTTGCAATAATGAATGCACTACACAATGCTGTAATTATTCAATTTGTAAATTCTACAGCTGGTTTATTCACATTGTTTTCGTATTGTCAAATATAGTTATATAAACAATTACAAACACGTTAATTATTTATGTTTTTTATATGTATGAAGTTTAATATTTTTCGTATTAATGGACGAATTTATTTGAAAGTCTTTTTTTGCTCTGTTATACGTTAATTAATTAAGCATAAGTAAAAACATAAATATATTAAAATAAATGTGTGTTTTTGTGCCTGTTATATCGTTTCATCATTAAGGAGTACAATAAATTACAAGGAGTACAATAAATTACACAGTACAATTATTTCATACATGATTACTATTTTATATGAATACATGTGTTAAATTATCGAAAAATTCATAATTAATTATTCATAAAGTATGAAAGTTTTTTTATCAGCCTTTGATGATAACATGTTTCGTCTTAAGTGAATGTTAATATTATGGTATGAACTTTCATTCAAAATTATGAATTATAATTTAGACGTTCAAATTCTATGTTAAAAATAAAATAATGTTTAATGTTATAAAACGTTACTTCTCCAGAGAAAGGAAAAATAAAAAGATTTAAGTTTTCTTTCAAGATTTGAATTTCCAGAAAACAAAAAACTTACTTGTAGAAGTATTACATTTAAACAGTTCAAATTTAGAAGTATTATAATTTTAGATATTTTTAACCAAGCACCTACGTATTTTCACAACTATACCATATTTTAAGTTGGGTGTATGGTAAAGTGAATTTCGGCCAGATGGGCCGTTGACGTGAATAAGGTGGCGGGTAGTGGCTGGATGTGGAAGGCAGAAGACTGGGTGTGGTGGCGAGTCTTGGGAATGGCAAATGTTTACCAGTGGATCATGCTGTTGATGAAGATGATTATTATCGATTTCAAAGTGCATCTAAACTTGGCATTAGATTGGATTTCACCCCTTTTTTAGGCAAACAATTAGCCGATTGGAACTTGGCCCCCTTTTTAACAGGCATGTTTTTGGTGAGATTATTATGACTATGGTTAGTTATTGTTATTGAATATCAAAAATTATCAAGTTTCTTTGAATAAATGATATTAAGCTTTACAGATTTCAAAATGAAACGTAATAGACAAAAAAAAATCATTGTCCGTCTAATATAGAACATTAGCTTACTAGTTTCCGAGTAAAAATTAAAATAAACACAATCTTAATTTTTTTTATAAAAATGCTTTAATTTCTTCTGAAATCCTTCTTTTGTTATTCCTCACAGCAAGTCCTCATAAATTTAATTTAGTATTTAAAACTGTATGCTGTTAATATTGATAATACTGCATATAGTTTTTATTCAGGAATCATCTTAATGTTTTAAATAGAAATTAGTTTTTAGTATAAGTGAGGTAATGAGATCTAAGATTTTCGCGAGTACTTATTTAAATGAAACTAATATTTTTGGATTTACAACGCGATTTTTTTATTTTTGACTATAAACTACATACTCCCGACGCGACGGTTCGGTTACGGTGTTACACCATGAGCACATTCTGCCGGCATCCAGAGTGGTACGCTAAAAAATTAAGAAATCGATGGCGGTAGGTGATAAAATAATAAATAAGACCGACTGACAGACATTCACAACTGGTCTGCCCGCGATCACGGTTGCTGTAAAGTAACCGAAACGTCGGGAGTATGTAGTTTCTTCTTCTTCCTGGCAATATCCCAGCTTTAGCCAGGTTCTGCGAAAGGGAGTATGTAGTTTGTAGTCAAAAATAAAATATCACGGAGTAAATCCGAAAATATTAGTTTCATTTATAAGTGAGGTAGTTTAAAACCGCCGTGAATGAAATAGTTGTGTACAGTAGAAGACTGATGGATAAATTTTGAACTATTAGATTAATTATAACTTCATTTATTAATTATTGAAGATTATATAGCCGTTAAAGATATGTTCACAAAAATTTTATAGCTGTAAAGTTTCGTTCTTTTATGCTACACAAATTATAAGGTCGTTTTATCATTTTCAGAAACGGGACTTGGTTACACGGATTTCACTGATAATATTGTAACGCAAGAATATTATGACGCCTTTAACAGATCCTTAGAATTGATACTATTAAGAGGTTTTAACATCCTATACCATTGCGATTGGTTATATCGGCGCACTTCAGGATACGCTGATATGAAAAAGCAAGTGGCGGTCTTAAATAGCGTTTCGGAGACTGTGAGTTTGATCAAGTTAATTTTATGTAGAATTTAGTCATATTTTTGTTTGATTACTATTATTCTGTTTATGGAGCCCCGATGTATAGTAGGAGATAGGATTTATTTTATGCCTAGGGCGAGAGTACCTACGAGATAGAAGACCAAGCCATTGATAGCCAAAATCGGCTTTGTATTTTACATTTTAATGAAAATTCAAAGATAGTTTCATTCAATTAATTTTTTAATGTCAAGTTATCCCAGGATTCGCAAAACAGGTTTTATAGACTAGCAATGTGTGTGATTTACGTCAGAATTGCCTCCTAAAATAATTATATATTCTGTTTTAGATAATAAAAAAGAAACTACAACGGAGACAAAAAGAAAAAAACAACAAGAATACTAATGAGTTTGTACAAGGTAGGTGATAAAAAATACATACGAAGTCTTTGTAATAACAAATTTCTATAAAGCTATACTTTTTATCCTTTTAGAAAAGAAGCCAAGTTTTAAGTCGTTTTTGGACATATTATTAGATTTGAGCGAGAATGATCCTAGTCTTACTGAGTATCAGATCATGTCGGAGGTGAACACTTTGATAGTTGGGGGACAGGAGACGGTTGCAGTCACTTTATTCTTCGCGTTTCTGATGCTCGGCAGTCATCCTGATGTGGAAGAAAAACTACATGCTGAGTAATTGACTTACTATTCTATTCAAACATGTTGCACAACCAATGATCTATTTATTCAAGAAAGAAGAAGTGGCTAAAGGAATTTAGGATAAAACTGTACAATTTAATCAAGATTTTTTGTCTATAAATTTCTCAGTTTGTAGTTTCTTTTATATATGTACTGAACGCTTTTAATGAATATTTGATGAAGTAATATTGGAAGTAATCTTTATATATAAAAGAAAGTTGTGTTAGTAACACTATTTATAACTCAAAAACAGCTTTACAGGTAGTGCTGAAAATTGGTGGAGAGATAGTTTAAAACCAGGAAAAAGTAATAGGATACTTTTCATGCTATCAAAAAAACAAAACTTAAATTTAAACCATGTTGTATGGTATTATACCTAGTTCAATTTTACGAATCGTTTGTATGGGAGTGTATTATTTTTATCCCTTTTAAAATATTTTTTTAAATTTTCTTTTCGTGAGATCTATTCTCATAGTTCAAGTAATATTCAAAAAAAATTATAAACCGATATAGCTGCTTTCGATATTTGCTCTAACCAACACATTCCGTGATGCATTTTTATATTATAGACTAGCTGCGCCTCGCGGTGTTACCTACGGATTTCCGGGATTTCCAGGATGTAAAGTACCCTATGTGTTATTCCTGGATGTCAGCTTTCTGTATACAAAATTTTATCAAAATCGGTTCAGCCGTTTGAGCGTGAAGAAGTAACAAACATACACACACACTCATAAACTTTCGCAATTATAATATTAGTAGGCTTATTAGTTTTATGTATTTCTATCTATTATATTTTATTAGCTTTTGTATTTATCTTGTTATGCATATTAATTAATATAATGTTATAACTTTTTTGTAAGGATGTAGTATTAATGTTTTTAATATACATATACATAGTTATTTCCTTCATTTAAATTCCTATTTCTTTGTTAATGGGATGCTGGCAGATCTCTTTCGAGTAAATGCATGGATCATGTACTCAATTAATATCCTTTTATTTCTGTTTATATAAATGACATACATATATAAATGACATTCATATACCTTTCAAAGCATATACAAATTACGTTTGTGTATATAACATAGGTATTAAATTATTGTAATGCTCTTGATGTACATACTTGCAGGGTAATTAATATTTTGGGTGACAAGCCTGACGTGGATAAAGAAGATCTCTCCCGAATGGTGTACTGTGAAGCAGTGATTTTTGAAACATTACGTATGTTCCCACCCATACCCACGGTCCTGCGGTATGCTGATCGGGACCTCAAACTTGGTAATGTCACAAACAAAATATTTTTATTTTATCATCATCATCATCGGCCTATCAGAGCTCACTGCTGAGTAAAGGCCTCTTCTCACATGGATAAGGTTTGAGTATTAATCACCACGCTTGCTCAAGACGGGTTGGCTATTTCAAACTTATAATTTGCAATAATAAGCCCAGTTTCTTTACGAAGTTTTCTTTCACCGTCTAAATCCTATTAGAAAGTACATATGACAGGGAAAAGTTCTATTGGTATTGCGCTCTCATGCACGGGAGGAGGGCCTTTAATCTCTAGGCCACTATGACCCTTTATTTTATATTAAAATATAATGTTTGTTGAGGATGTGTTTAACAGTGTCATGTGTCATAATTATTCGTAACCTGACTTCAGATTCCTACACCATTCCACGAGGAACGACTGTGGTTCTCAACGCGTGGGGTTCAGGACGGTCGGAGAGTTTGTGGGGGAGCCAGGCGTCTTCTTTCAGACCAGAAAGGTGGTTATATGGAGAACCCTGCATGACCTCGTGTCTTGCATTCAGCGTGGGTCGGCGCTCATGTATAGGTAAGCTATTGGTCTGGTAAAAGAGTTTGAGAACAGTTGACTAGCGCTTATTTTTAATTTTTTTTTTTGTTACATAATATAAATTTGTCTTTTTAATTGCTTTAAACTTCTATAAAAAATTTATATGTATTTAAGTTATATAATCTATGCATGGTTTATACTAAAACAATTATTAATTTTAGGTAGGACCTACGCTAACGCCATCTTGAAGACGATGCTGGCTCACTGTGTTAGAAGATTTAGGTTTCATTCAGATACTAAAAAATTAAAAATAAAAATGGATCTAGTTCTGCGTCCCATTAGCGGTCATCTCTTAGAGGTGGAACTAAGAAATGATTCTCGTTAGGATATCTAAAGAGTTGGCATATGTAGTTATTTTTTTTTTAATATTCATATTTCTTTATATACACACATGATATCCAAAAAATTACATATAATAAATATGTTGTAATGATCTTATATGATTGAATTGTAATATATCGACCATTAAATTTCCTTTTCTAGAATAAAACATGATGTATGTATATTATGTTTATTTATTTATTTTATTAAATAAATTAGCTGTATAATAACAATATTTTAATAGCTTGTTATTAAATCAATGTGATATATATATAAGTATACTAAATATAAGAGAATTATAAAATAATAAGTTTATTCTTTTGTATTAAGTAAAATAAATCAATAGAATGCTAGCATGATGATTTTTGTCTTTTTCAAAAGACATCTCATAATACCTTCTTCATGATTGTGTTTTTTTGTCATTTATTTGTTTGAGATAGTACATAAGATGAAAAAAAGTATTTTATGTTTCTATATTACAGAATTTAATCTTCTCTTTGGGATGATATTTCTAAATTCTTCAATGTTACATCGTGTTCGTTCGTGTATTGTAATATCAACAATATTTTTATTCTCATTTAAATAGCTAACACTTCTAAGAGAAACTTAGATGCTGATGTTTTCAAACAGAAATTTATAATTTGTTATATTTACTTTATTCTATAACATCAACTGTGTTACATAAATCTTCAGAAAGGATATTAAAATTAGATTAAATATTACGCTTTTGTCATCATGAGCTTTTTAATAGACTTAAAATTTACTTATGTTTTTTCACAGTCAGTGAATCCCTATGTCTGTATTAATTTACTTAGAAAGTATAGTGCCGATTAAAGAAATATTTGACTTAGTTTTTAGTCAAGTTTAAAATAGTCTTTAACAGTTTGGTTTATAAATTACCAAGATGCAAGATGTCAGTGTGCTAAAGACAAAGTTCGGAGTCCATGTCTCTAAACACTATCAATAACTCCTTAACTAAAAACTAATGTAAAGGTAGCCTTACCAAATATACCTACGTATTTACGAAATACTTAAAAATCTGATTGGCTTGAAGGAAAAAGAATACTTGTAAATTTAAGATTTTAAATTGGTCTTTTGTTGAGATCGTGTAGTTATTTCATTAAACCAATTCAGAAGTCTTTTTTAAAAATCAATAAGTTGTTTATGATTATAATACATTATTTTATAATGATATTTTAATTGCCTTCACTTTACTTAACATTTCTTTTTTACTTTTGACAAAAGGGGCAAATGTTCAGACGGCCTATCTGATGGAGGTAGTACCGTCGCTCATTGAGATCCGCAACATAGTTTAGAGGATGCCTTTCCACCCTAGATTGAAAAAGAAAGAGAGGAAAGGGTAGGAAAGGGGAAAGGGCAATCGGTTCTCTCACTCATCGGATGTAACTCATCCATTAATGACTCCTTCACACCGATCTATTGTAAGAGCGTGGTGGTGGTCGAGTCAGCCTATATTCGAGCTATAGTAATTTAACCACAGCTAGGCTCTACTACCTACAAAAGTTTTTTATAAGTCACCAGGTGGTCTATGATAACCCATCTTATATCTCTGAAAATCAAACAGTAGATAGTAGAAATAAAGTAAATAACGACAATAATATTGACCAATCAACTGTAGTTTTTTTACTATTATCTTTCTAAAGCTACCTCTTTTACATATTATGACATGTATTTCTAAAGTTCCATCTTCCTGAATTACATTGCTATTAGATAATACAGTTTTCATGCAGAAGATTTTAAAGTGGTATATGCGGAATATGTAGATTTGATGACAGACATTAGGTATATGAAATTAAGAATGGCTATACCACCAGCTGTTAGAGTCATAGTCTTCTGTGAAGATTGTAGCATAAAAAGAACTGTCTTCTGATTAGACAAATTGAAATTTTCCCATTTACAATCGTAGACTGCTGTCTCGAAAGCTATGCTAGCATCAATTATCCTTTGTCCAATATAACAATCTATGAAGACAGTGCCAAATGTAAATGGTAATTGTATCAAAGTGTTTTCTAAACCGCCGACCAATTCAGTTACAAGAGCGAATATCATAAATATGGAGTCATTCACGAATATGAAGCGAAGTTCCTTTTCAACTTTATTTCGGAGATTTATATTCATAATGTGGAACTTCAAAATATCTCGAAGACGATTCTTTATAAATATATTTCTCACTTCATATTCGTCACCAGATTCGTTGTGCTCAAGTACATAACAGTCGTAATATTTCTTACTATCTTCCCAGATATTCGTCAATTCCACACTCAGAGCCAGCATTTGGGATTCAAGGAATCCAATGATGACTATAATGAAGAGTGTTATATGTACCATGATTGAGACAGAAAAATATACAGATAATATCGTTAGAATTGATGCTATTTCATAGTTAGGAGACTCCAACATTGGGTCCAAACCTAGATAAAATATGTGATATATATTAACAGCAGTTATACTTATTGTTATTTTAATAAAAACTTACCATACATAACATACATGTCTTGAGTCAAATGGCGTCCAGATCTCATTAATGGAAGAGTGGCAAAAACTGCGCCGTTCATTGTCAATACAAACCAAGCAACTGTTGCTTGTTTCTTAATGATTCTCATATTTGCAAAGAAATTTTTCTCAAAACGAGTTCCTTTAACTATCAATTGGTTACAATTTAAATATTCATCGACTAAATCCATCACCGCTTCTCTGTAATGTTTAGTAAAATTATCATTAATTCGACAGTATTTAATTTAGAAAAACTGTCTTAAGTTTTTTGAAGATTATCTGACAGTCATAAGTCTAACCAACAATAAGATGAAATATAACAATAATGAAACAAAATCTCCTGATTCGTATATAACTTTCGTGTTTTATTATTTTACATTTACCCCATTGTTTACATTTACGTAAGAGCAGTCATGGAATGAAAAGTTTTTTTTTTTTTTCACATGAAATTTTATGAAAAGCCGTCTGTCTACCTTAAGTTCTCTGTCTACACTTCTCCCTTCCCGGGTATACTGGAAGAAATCCCTTCTAGGGATAAGTATACCTTTTAAACTTATTTTTCCTGTGTTATATTCTTTTGTCCTTTATGTTTGTTATATGTTTAAAAAATTGTTAAATAAATAATAAAATAAAAGCAAATAAGCAGATGGCTTCTTGATGGGAAGTATTCCCGGTCACCCATGGATACGTTCGATCTTCAGTAATATTACCACGTCTAGGCTCTACCATTTCTTTATTTCCCCAATGTATATTCAACAACTTGAATAAGGACATACCTATATGATTCTGTAAACTTAAATAGGACTATGACTTTTTTTGTAGCTTGGTGTAGTTTAGAAAAGTGAAGAGCAGTAACAGGACAATCGTTAAGAACTTATCTCAAAACTGAAAAAAAGACGTCTGGCAAGGTAGCAGTAACAAAATGCAAAATCTCAAGATACTATTAGAGTTCTGAAGGCATCTGTATGAGAAAATTGAGAAACCGTGAGAGACAAAAAAAGAGTAGCTGACAGAAACTTTCATCTCGGATGCCTATGAAATACTGCTGGGATGCAATCAAAAGACGCGGAGACCGGGTAAAATGTGTGACCGAGTGTTCACACCAAAATCATAGGCACATAACAATAGTAGATTAGTTTCTTTTATTTTACTCACCGGTAATATTTCATGTAAAAGATCTTAGGTATACAGGTAACACTGCACATTGATAGTGATAATGCTACCATGGCGTTGATGAAGTCGCCAGTCTCTCTACACCACACCAAAACGTACCACGCAGTCGAGAACATATACGAGTAGAAGTAACAGAGTCCAGTGAAAATTGTTGTGACATAAAATATCCAGGGAATTTCTAAAATTATTGGAATGTAATCTTTAGTTCTATTACAAAAAACAAACATAGATTTTTTTTGGCACTACAGATAATATATTCCCGAATTTTAGTACATCTCAGAACATTTATATTTATCTTTATTTAACAAGAAATACAAGTTTTTCTTTGCACAGTAATCTTTGTTTTTAAGGTAATTAACATTCCCGGATCTTATATTATATTTCTACTATATCTATAGTACCTAAATTTGAATTAATTGGTGAGTTTAAATAAAACTTACTCTTGTTGTACTGTCTATTGGCTCTAATAGTTAACATTCGTAATAAAACTTCGAGATTATATAGCATCGTCGGCAGATCGCAGTACCTCAAACCGAATTTTTCGAACATTTTTGCCATTCTTGTAGTCTCGGTAAACCATTAGTTTTAACGTCAAGTAACAAAGAAACGAGAAAGGTGTTTCATATCAAACATATAGATAAAATATTAAACAGTTAAAAGGGCCTTGGAATGTCAAATAACTTGATACATTTTGTATTCAGTTAAGTGCACTTACTAATTGCATTGAGTTAATATTTGTTGTTGGAATCGATATGTAATAATATATTTCTCTTTTAGCTCATCGATATCATAAAACACAGAGTAATATTATTGTAGTATAATAATTTTTGAGTACATAATATGATAAATAAAAATAAAGGCCTGTGAAAAGTCTTTTCTTTGTTTAAACAGAGGTGTAATCAGGGAACATAATAGAATTGGTTTTAATCAACAACTCTGTCTGAGTGATTTCGGAATCGGGCTCAAGGTATAGTCTGTTGAAACACTAGATATGACAATCAAATCTTCTTCTTCTATATATATAAAAATGGATTGCTGTTCTTTAGTCTCGCTAAAACTCGAGAACGGCTGAACCGATTTGGCTAATTTTAGTCTTGAAATACTTCTGGAAGTCCAGGGAAGGTTTAAAAGGTGAGAAAAATTGGAATAATAGCCGGGAAACCCCCAAAAAAAAACCCTTTCTATTTCCCATACAAACGTTTTTTTGACATTAGATTTGACAACTAACTAATATGTCAATCATTCTGTTTGATTGAAACAGGAAAAACCTGATTATTTGTGGCCTCTAAAACGGAATAGAGTTCGCCTGGTCGGCTA